GGTCAAAAACAATTTTGATTAAATAAATCTATAATACTCTATATCACCTAAGTGACAATTCATGTAACAAATGTTTTTAGACTGACAGTAAATACATTAAATTTGGTCTTCCATTATATAATTAATTTAGTTTACTAATTTAAAGTGAACCATATTTAAAAATGGAAACTATTAAACAAAACTAAAGAAAGCTGTAAAAAACTAGCAAGGTAAAAATTGCTATATTATATAAATTGTAAGCTTATAAGAAGCAGAGGTTGGTATAGTAGTGATTATATAATACAGTATGTAACTTGAGTGAATGGTGTTGTGATGGTGTTATCTTGGACATGCACACCACATTTTTTTAAATACTGTACTGTACTCTGTTGGAATATGGAGCTGGTAATATAACCAAAAAGCTGTCGTAGGGTAAATTATCTCTTTTTAAGTGCTGTATATCTACAGCACTTATATAAGATAGATTTATATGCACATGACACAAATTGCAAACTATTTGTTTTTTTGTTTTTTTTAGTTTCATCCATTATCACATCTTTCTTTGAACTTTGAACTTGTCCATTTAAAGTTTGTTCTTAAACTTAAGTCATTGATTTTTGCACTTTGTTCTTCTTTATACAGTCTTCTAATTCTCATTTTTATGTACACATATTTTTACAAAATATTAATTTAATTTATAAGTTGGTATTTCTCTCCTGCTCAATAAATTGCCAGTAAACACAAACTTGTAGATGCCATACTAAACATGTGTGTGTGTGCAGACAATAAGTCATAATAATGTGGCTGAACATTAGACACCCAACCCACACATCTCACAATAAAGGAAGTGAGGACATTATGATCCATCCTCGACTATTATAAAGTTATGTCATGAAAGGAATGGTAGGGAAAGTTATTACAGTATACTGAATATAAGATGATAAAGTGAGGTGGAAGGCAAGAAGGTCGACATACAGGAAAAAGGGGAAGTAAAGAAGATGAAGTACGTGTATAAAAAAAGAAAATTGCAGAAGGCCTAACGGAGAGAAGAATGAGGTGAAATAGAATGAGAGATAGCAACATAAGAGATAGAAAAGAAAGAGAGCCTAAAGGGTCTAAATAAAATTCAGGTCACATTTGTTACCCAAAATTACCTGAGGGTCACCATCTCTCTAATGGCCTCGACGAGGCAGGAAGCCAGATTCTTGTCAAAGGTCCTGGCATTGTTCCTGACGAGGGGCCTGACAGCTGAGTTGACAGCGCTTCGGATTCATAGTTCCGAGGTTCCGGGTTCGCTCCCCGATGGAGGCGGAAACAAGTGGTCAGAGTTTCTTTCACCCTGATGCCCCTGTTATCTAGCAGTAAATAGGTACCTGGGAGTTAGACAGCTGCTACTGGTTGCTTCCTGGGGGTGTGTAACAAAAAGGAGGCCTGGTCGAGGACTGGGCCACGGGGGATGCTAAGCCCTGAAATCATCTCAAGATAACCTCAAGACGATATTTCTCCAACTGAATTTTGAACTGCAGTTATGCCTTGGCATTTTCAGGTTGATATGTAGGCAGGTCCATGCGACTACAACCCTGTGTGTTAAAGCATCCGTTTTCTGTCATAAACTGTGGCTTGTTGAGTTTGAAGCTGTTGCCCCTTGTATGTGTTATATTTGAGCCTTTAAAGAAGTGGCCTGGATTGATATCCTCCAACTTCAGTATTTTAAAGCTCGTGATGAGATTAGTTTTTACATGTTTGGTTTGCAGTGTTGTAAGTTCTGTGGCCCTATGAGAATTGAAGTAGTTCTGGGAAGATTTTTTGTCGGTGTGTATGTGTTGATCTCTCTCCTTAGCAAATATGTCCCTTTAAAGGCAAGGTCTCTACGTGCTTGGATACAGTAGTCCAGATTGGACTACTGTATCGAGATTGAGGTGCTCAACGGATTGAGCATAATTGCCCGAAACGTTATGCATGTTAGTAGCTGTATAAGAGTGTAACAACTCTTGTATATAAAAATAAACAAAAATAAAAATATTGGGGTGCACTAGTGATTTGTACAGTTGAATAATCACTGTCTTTTCCTTGAAGTCAAAGGTTCATTTGACTATTCCTTGGGTTTGATTGGCATTTTCTTTTTACTATAGCTCCTACTTCTTGCACATCTTTCAACTCCTAGGTCCTTTTCTTCATCGGTGTGCTGTGTTATTGATATGTTAGTTGTGATATGCATTGTTATGCAGTACATGCAAGGTATTGCATTTTTCACCATTAAAAAGTATTTGCCAGTCTTCTGACCATTTGTTGAGTTCATGATATTGTTTTCACTTCCTACTCTACCATAGCTCTTAGTGTTATCTGCAAATTTGATGATATGGTTAGTAATATTCTCATCTATGTCACTGATGTATATGACAAAATGGGTTGGCCCCAAGATGGAACCTTGTGGTATTCCATTCGCCACATTTTTCCGCTCAGATACATTTCCATTTACAACGACCCCTTTGCTCTCTTATCCATTCTATTATTTTAACATTTATTCCATGTGCTTATATTATTTTAGCCAGTCTTTCATTTTGTACCTAATCAAAAGCCTTAGAGAAGTTCATGTAAAATATGTCTGCTATAAGTCCTTTGTCTGAATAGCTTGTTACTGTTTTAAAAAATGTGAACAGGTTAGTGGGCAGGATATATTTTTTAACAAAACCATATTGTATTGATTTGATTAAATTGTGCACTATGAGATGGTGAATGATTCCCTTTAGGATTCTCTCCATGAGCTTGCTTATATGTGAGGTTAGGCTGATCAGTCAGTAGTTTTCTGCTGAGATCATTCTACCTTTATTTTGAAGATATTTGATATATTTGCATATTTCCAAACTAGAGGGACTTTCCCCTTGGTCCAAAATTTTTTTTTGAACAGTTGTTTCAATGGTAAACAGTTCCTCGGGCAGTGTTTTTACAATTTTGGATTGAATTCTATCTACACCTGGGTTTCTAGATTCCTTTAATTTCTCAATGCTCTTTCCGATTGTTTTGTACATTATTGGGATATACCTTAATCTATTCTCTTCCCCTGCTTCAAACATTTGTGTGGGTATTGGAATGTTGTCTAATCATTCTAGTGTGAATTCTCATGAATCAATACATATTGATTCACAGTGTTGGATGCCATTTTATTATCAGTTATAATTTGGTTGGTCTCATTTTATGGGGCTTATAGTCTCTCTTGCCTTAATATTTTTTCTTATATAGGCAAAAAAAGACTGGATCTTAATGTTTTGAGCAAATTTTCTTTCATAGATTTTTAAGAAGGTTAAAGTATTTAACTATGTACTGAGAAAGGCAAGTGTCAACAGCAACAAAGCCAGGACAAAGAATCTTGTTAGGTATGTTGTGTTTGAGATCCGTCTTGACAAGATGGCATCTGTAAAGAGTAGATGCAGAAAAGATAATTATAGAAGACACATCTATAGGATGATTAAGAGTTCCTAATGTGATAAAAGAGAGCATCGTGGGTGTCTGCAGACTTAAGAGTTCTTCTAGTCTACCATTAAAAGAACGTTTTCACCAAAGCATTGGAGAGGAGAAGAGGAACAGGAAATATGATAAACACCAGCAGCATAGGATGATGCTCCCATACAAAACATGCCCAAAATGAATCTTAGTCCTGGCTTTGTTGCTGTTGACTCTTGCCTTTCTCAGTACATAATTAATTGCATTTTTTAAACCTTCTTAACAAATATGATCTAACTTAGCTTTAGCACCTCTAAGCGCACACACTTTTCTTTCTCTTGTTTCTGTTTCATGTCGTTCCCCTTGCCATTATGCCTTCGTTGGTCTTATTTTTCCTATACTTCAACCTTTTTACAACCTTTCACTTCACTTCCTTACCATATGTAATTACTGAAATGTCATTATTTCCTATATTTTCTGATGTGTGGGTTGGGTGTCTAAATACTGCCCATTCCAGGTATCTGCCAAATGTTGTCTGGCATACTATTTTTTGTGTTGTTTCCATGCTTCATAGCCTTACAGTAATAATTAACCTCCTTCATCCAATTGGAAATGTACAAAGAAGATATATGCTATATATATAGATTTGTACCTAAAACAACGGTACAAATTTACTTCTGCAGTATACTGCATCCTTAACACTTTAAAACTCACAAATTTAGCTCAATGCTCATTAACAAACAAAATATATTTCTTGGCTTGTATGAAGATACATCAGAAATGGACAAAAGCAGTTGTGACATACACATTCATGAATAAGTCTAATACACACTCATGCATGATGCTGCTCTCCTACGTGCTTACATAAATTTGCGTAAATTCCCCCTCCTTCTCCCCACCCAAGGCTCCTCGTCTTGCCATGTACTTTACCCCATGAATTGCACAATGTAGGAGAACATTGATAGTTTTACATATAACCCCCAAGCAGTCGGGTGCTTAGTAGTAGAAGATAGTTAGAAGTAGTTCAACACTGTATGCCCCAACATCAAATACATACAGAAATCATACAAATATTGTGTATCAATGACAAAATTAACTGGAGCTCTGAGATGACTGGAACCTGTAACCAAGATGCTGCTGGCCGCAAACTCTACCACTGTACCATCATGACTCTGTATAAGTTGTACAATTTATACCAAGTCAGGCATAAGTTGTATTAATACTTGTGTATCAATTGACAGGAATTCCTGCTGATCGGTAGAGAGTCTTGTGCATTGATTTAGTTTCCATGTATTGCCATGTATATAGTTGCCCTTCCCTTCAGGAATCCCATGACGTATCAAGAAGTATGATTGCTTCTTAGCAAATATCTTTAGTAGGTCAAACAGGAATAAAGTAGCTAAAAAAATATCTATTTTCACTGCATAACTTAATGATGTTTGTACAGTGTAGTAATTCATCAACATATTTAATCTAATTGCAGTGTTCCCTTCCAAGAGAGCTGACAATAAACTAATAGTTATTTATATGAATTAAGTTTAAATCCACCCAATACTCATGCAAATGTTTTTAACAAACAGAAGTTGATGGGAGTGAGGGAGTTGGTGCCCCACACAACCTTCCTGCACACCCGGCTTGTTCTCGACCCAAGCCAGCACTACCCAACTTGATTGCCAAGCAGCGCTCCTTCCGTTGCAAACTGTCCAACAAGAGCAAGTAGTTGTAAAAAGTTGTACCTCAACTTAATCCCACAGATGAGTCATTTGGCTTAACTCTGAGATCTTCTTTTATCTGACATTGAAAAAACACTTGTTGATATTAAGATAAATAGGGGATAGGGATTTAGAAATGGCAGCTTCTTGTTCCTCTTACATGTGGTGGATGATAAAGCCCCGTGGTTAGCAGCTGTGTAATTATATCATTAATATTCAGTATTTCAGTTTTAATGAAAAAAAATGACAAATTGCATGCTGCAATCTAGGGATGCTTTAAGGAAGGCAGCTTACTAGTTAAATAATCTTTTTTAAATTGTTACAATTGGCTCCCAGAGCTTTCCAGTATTCAGAAACCATTAATGTGCTGCTGTAGATAATTGGGCATATTTTTGGGTTAAGTGAGAAATAAGGAGTCACGACAAATAATCATAGTACTCTACTGTAATTATAATGCGATGGATGTTATAACTTGTTGTACAACTAAGTATACATCTGTCTATTACATGCTGGCTTGGGATAATGTGATATTTTCTTCATTCATGGCCAAAGGTATACTAGATTGTAAGTAAATCTAGTTTATATAAGTTATTTTGGATGTTTGTTAAGTGTTGAGCTTCCTTACCAGTGGTATGTGAGCCTAAGAAGAGGCTACCTTTATCAACATTACATTGTCACACATTGCTTATTTATTCCAAGTTATGTTTGGCAACTACTGTTGGGTGTCATTGTGTGACTGCTAAGTTAATTGTCATGAATATTATTCTCTTTCTGACCTTGAAAGAAAGAGTTGCTTTTGTGTACTAGGTACATGAGTTCTGTAAATATAGCTTGCAGCTGAGGAAGGAAATCCTCACTACTTTTGAAATGTAACTACTTGTGACCTGTTAGTTGTTCTCTGCGGATTGGGTTTAACCACCCAGGACAAGGGTATTCAGTGATAACTTAGATAAAGCATGCAATGAGTTAATAAGAAAAACAATCAGTATTGTATTTTTTGTCAGACAAGTGAACTTTTGTAAAACCACTAGAAGTGTACATGTTAGTGTAATTGGAGGAATGAATGATTATGGGATAAATGGAAGACTATATATGTAGTGATTGACTATAAACAGCTTCAGCCCAAGTTGAATTTGTGGCATGTTACAGCTTTTAATGTTCATCAGGTAAATGTGTTTTAAGACGTGATGTCTGGTGCATAACCTCAGATGGTTTGACATGAATGTCCTATTTTCATGTCAGTCTGCTTATAAGGCTCATGTTAGCCTTGAAGCTGATAGTAATGAGCCTTAACAAGATTTTATTTTGCAAAGGTCATAAATGCCTATTTTTCTTTTTGCATTTGAAAACAGTATTTAACAAGACCTCCCGTGATATCAAAGAAACCTGGTTGTCACGTTGGGCTAATATTAAGCTCTTTATTTCCCAGTACTTTTCTGCCTTCATTATTGTCACTTTTCATTTGTGCAGCTTTTGCTACTGATTATCCAAGTGAAAGCCAATGAATGAACCCATACAGTGCATGTTCCTCTATTTTAGATTAATGTCTTGTGTACCAAATCCATTGTCTGTTAAGTGCTAGGAAGATACACATTTTGCAGCTGATCTGTCAAGTGAAATAACTTCTTAATTGCACAATATTTATTACAGTAACTTTATTTGCAGTTTTTGATGCTCTTTGAAAATTCCAAGCTCTGAATTATGATCTGTGAGAATAAATATTAAATTATACTATAGTGTGATGCATTGCAATAATTTACTCATTTGGATTGGACATAGTTTGTGTACCGTGTAAGGCATTCTTAGGTCAAAAGGGCACCAATACATGCACCTCATCATTCACCAGTTAACATTTCATCTTTGACATACCTGCTCCATAAATTAACTTATACATAATCATATGATGAACTTGCATATATTAGTCTCTTCAGGTTGTTTTCCTAACAGTTTCCTTAACATTATTACTCCTTTATAAAAATGAGATAGCTTTAATTGACAAGGATGTCATTGATTTTAAATAAGTTTCATACATCCTCTATCACTAGCCATTTGATGTCTTGTACCCTATACTATTAACTGGTACAAAGGCAGTGTTCATTAGCACTTTCACATGCCTCACAGCTAACAGTCCGCCCCTCTCAGGGCTCGGCTCAGCAATACATAATATGTTTGTACTATCTTTTTTTTTTCTGGGAGGGTTCCAGGGTGGCTTCCTGTTGCTAACTGCTGTTGGTTATCCTATTAAATTGCACCTGGCCCTTACAAGTTATTAATATCCTAGTGGTGACCGAAGGTCAAAACCTGGTTACCCCACAAGAGCAGAGAACAAAGAATACTAGATCACTTTGAGTATATAGCCACCAAAAAGGCAGAGTAAGGCAAAAAAGAAAATAATCAGGAAACAGGAGACCCAGTAGTCACATTATTTCACCACTAGTTCCACCTCCCCACCATAAGATGGCAGCACCAGGAAATATACCCCCCTCTACAGTGTACCCCCCCCCCCTCCCCCTCAGTCATTCACCTGGTGCTACCTTATGTAGTGCTTCATCTGTCACCTTTCCTTAAAGGGTCTCTCTCTGTCCAGACAAGTGCTGGCCATTCTTTAAACTGTCCCATGGGGCTATTTGCTAGTGTATTGTTCTACTTTTAGTATTTGCTTCATGAGCATGTTTACCAGCCTCACGTGTTGTGTGGACTCTGCAAAATTGTTCTCCTCAAGCTGCCCGAGCAATGAAACGACCTAACTACTGTGTTTTGTTTTTGTTTATTTTGCTCAACCCATTCTCCTGTTTAGATAGTACCTATTGTGACGATTGTCAATAGTCGCAAATTCGTACATACTTAGCTTTTAGATAGTAGTATACTGACTAGTAAGGAATTCCTTTTAAAATAATGAAGTTAGAAAACAAACTTAAATATTCCTAGGCCTAGTATAACACACACATGTACTATATTAGGCCTGAGATATCGTGTATTAGGCCTACGAAGGTTAGATTAGTTTGTCAAAGCAACACAAGTAAAAAATAGTTTTCCAGTTTGTCCAACCCAATAGTTCAGATTTCTACTTTCTAATTTCGTTGTACGTCGGTATATAGACTATAGTCCTCGTCGTTACTATAAGTACTACCAAAATAGGAGGATGGGCTAATTTTGCCTTGCTGATGTCTGTTTTGTCTCACGCTATCTTTTTGTGGCAATTTCCTTAGCTAGAGTGATCTAGTATCCTCTGCTCTCAGCACCTCTGAGGACACAAGATTTTGACCTCTAGTCTCCGGTTGATTATTAATGACTCGCAAGAGCCTGGTGTGATTTGATAGATGTGTAGCTATCAAGAGTTGCTAGCACAGAGACCTTGGACCCACGAGAAAGAGGTGTTTCATTACATTCAATGCTGTTGTTTTAAGATTTCACTCTTTTTTTATATATATATATATATATAATTATGAATTTTGTGTAAAATGTTCAGAAATGAATGCTCTAGAGTACTGTATAGATGAATAAAAAAAATGGTATATGCATTATAGTTTATGCATGGTGTTGCTATGTATATGAAAGTTTATATATATTTAACCATTCCTCATTTATAATTTGTAATAAAATAAATATGGATATGTTCGCAAATGATCGACTTATATTGCTGTAAACCAAAAAGAAAGAGTACGTGTATAATTTTTCATCAAGGATATTTGTAAAATGACAAGCAAATACATACGAGCAGAGTGATTATTGTCTTGAGTGAAGAGGGGGATTGGCTGGATGTTCCCCTCAATACATTGGTTGGTCACCTGCTAGGTCTGACCACATGGTGCTTATGTATGTTAAGAGTTTTCTCATGAAAGTAAAAATAGAATGGTCAAGGAAGTGATTTTCACAAATTCCGAAACTTATTGACGCAATTTAACATCTGGATTGCTTACAGATACTGTACTAAAATGTGTCATTGTCACACAAAATTGTTAAACAGTATAAGGGATATGAACTGAACTAAATTCTGTGTATTTTTCCTGTAATTTATTATAATATTTGAGAAAATAATATATAAATTTTTTTAGAGATAGACATTGATAATAATGAGCATTTTTCATTATGACAGCATTTTACTGGACTGTAGAAATGGTTAGTTACTGTATCCTAATTGTTCTGCCCACTTACTCCCTTAACATGTAGTACAGTATAGTGCAGCACATCATGTCTTACAGCACCACCATGTGTCCCCATCATGTCATGTGGCACCACCGAGTCCCAATAATATCATGTATATTACCATGTGTCGCCATCCTATCACACAACACTATTGAATCCCTATCATGTCATGTGGCCCTTTTGTGTTGCCATCGTGACATGTGGCACTACTATGTCCCCCCATTGGGTCATGTGGCACCACCACGTGTCATGTTATATGTCACTTGACTGTGTCCCCCATCTTCTCATGTGGCACCACTACATGTCTCCATCATATAATGTGATAACATGTGTCCCTATCATAGCTTCTCACCACCATGTGTCCCTATCATGGCTTCTCACCACCATGTGTTCCTATCATGCCTTCTCCACCATGTGTCCCTATCATGCCTTCTCTCATCATGTGTCCCTATCATGCCTTCACCATGTGTCCCTATCATGCCTTCTCCACCATGTGTCCCTATCATGCCTTCTCTTTCTCACCACCATGTGTCCCTATCAAGCCTTCTCTCTCACTACCATGTGTCCCTGTCATGCCTTCTCTCTCACCACCATGTGTCCCTATCATGCCTTCTCTCTCTCTCCACCATGTGTCCCTATCATGCCTTCTCTCTCACCACCATGTGTCCCTATCATGCCTTCTCTCTCTCCACCATGTGTCCCTATCATGCCTTCTCTCTCTCTCCACCATGTGTCCCTATCATGCCTTCTCTCTCCCCACCAAGTGTCCCAATCATGCCTTCTCACCACAGTATCCCCCACTCAAGCATCCCCATCACCATGTGTCCCTATAATGCCTTATCCCACCATGTATCCCTATCATGCTTACTCACCACCGTGTGTCCCTACCCTGCCTTATCTCACCACAATATATGCCTGTCAGGCCTTTATTACCACTGTGTCCCAGTCATGTCACAGGATAATTCCCACCTCCCATATCAAGATTTTCACAGATCCTTGAAGATTTCTTATATTTGTGTTATAATTTGTAAAACCTTGAAAAGTCTAAAATTTACTCTGCTGATAGCAGGAATCATGCATGTTACTCATGCCTATGAACACTAGTATTACCATCTTACATGTGTCTATCATGCCTTAAAATACCCCAATTCCTCTTTGAAGCTCACTTTGACAAAGGAATATTAATTTAAAGAGGGTTTTGTGAAGTAACGGTATGACTTATCGCTGATATAAACTGGCAACTTATTTTTCGTGTTCTTCTCTTCCCTAATTCATTATCAAATCAGTTCACTCTAAATATACTTGTACCTACCTGTACATCTAAATTAAGGGTGCCTATTATAATTTATTCTTCATTAGTAAACATATCTGTCTTTGTAGTGTTTTTATGACATGACGAGATCTGGATCACACTGAGACTGCCTTTAAAAATAATTTAATCTTTTTTACCTTTTTTTGCTAAACATTTAAACAAAATATAAATATTTGTGAAAGAGAGCATCAGTTAATGCAAAAACTGAGGGTCTTTGCTTTTCTGAGTATACTGTACATGTACTGTAGAATCCTTGGCAGAAAGATACCAACACTGAGGTTGACGTACACCCTGACCACGACCCCTTCACCTTTCATCATCTTCAACTCCTCTCCAAGGCTTAGGGGCAGTCATGGTTTTCATTATTTGGAGGTTTGTGTGCTTGATTGAGGCAGGTCGCTTACTTCAATCATAGCTGTTGTTTCTCTGAACTTACACTCGGTGTTTGCTGGTGAGCGGCTGCCTGCACCCGGTTCCCTGGTTTTCATCGTCAGGGGGTGGAAAGAACCCATGGGTCTTTAGTGTGGTTCAGAGGTGACCGACCCATCAAGCTTGCACTCACTGGGTGCGAGTTTGAGGTAAGTTTTCAAATTTGCCGATGGTCATTCATTTTGCCTCTATAAGCTGCATCCAAAATGTTTACATTCCCTGTCACTTCGGTGGGGCATAATTTGTTTTGTTTTGGTTATTCCTCTTGTGGCAGTAGGGTCCCTATGCCCTGTTTGTTTCCCTTGATCTCCCTCCCCTTCTTTTCAGTCTCAGCTTGAATGGTAACAGCTATTAGCTTCTTGCCTTCTGGTTGCAATTGTTGGTCCCTGCTGCTCTTGACCCTTCTGGCCCATTAACTGAACCCCCATGTTTTTCCGAGGCTCCACCATTTCTCTGGTCAGTGGATATTGTATTTCTTGGTTATTTGTTGGTTGGCTTCTTTTGTCCGACAATGTCACTTTTGTTGGCATACAGTGTTACCATTTATCAGCTTCATATTGCAAGTTGTTTGTGTGTGTTTTCACTTTATGCCTGCTCACATTCCTCTTGGGCCTTCTGGGTCTCTGGATGAGGTTCTCGGTCTCTTTTTGTATGCTCAGTTCTGTCACCCATTTGATCCATAACCTGAGTTAAAAGGCCTTGTTTTCTTGGTTCATACTTCCAATTTTAGGGTCAGGGAGCTTTATGCTGTCTTACAGAAGTTGGATTTTGTTCCTTTGGCCCTGGTGGAGAGTTTCTTGATCTACTTCCTTCTCCGTTTCTAATTTGCATTGAAATTGTTGATTTCTGGTGGGGTCTTTTGGTTGTTAGCTCTTGATTTGTTCAGCCTGGGGATACATCATTTATTGTGCCTGTGGTGGCAGTTTCCTTATTTATGTACCTTTTGGGACACTGGTTGATGCATTGTTTGTTGACCCAGTGTCATCGGTTCCTTCTACCTAGGCACATTTGTTTCGGATTGTCCACAATGTTGAGTCTAGCCAGCCTGCAGGCTTCCCTCGAGCTTGTGATGTTTGGAAGTTTGAGGCATTGTCTACTGTTTTGTCTAATAGGTCTTAGGCTGATCCTTGGGCTCTGGAGTTTTGACATTCTAACAATGTGTTGGTGGCTTCATGTTTGGTTAATGTGTTGGGGTTGTTCCATGCTTGTATGGCATTGGGTATAAATATTTGGATTTCATTTTCAAGTATTCTCACAATCTGCAAAACATCAAGATAACTGATGAAGCAGCGAATGTAGACATGAAAGCAGCCAAACATTATCATCAGATATTAAAAGAAATCATAGAAGGTGGCCACACTCCCAAACAAGCTTACAAAGTTGATGAAACTGATTCATACTGGAAACAAATGTCATCAAGAACCTATATCTCCAGGAAAGAAGAAATGCAGACAATCCTGTCTCTGTGGGTAACACTGACTCCTCACCAAGCCTCAACACACACTCTTTGCAGCTATCTCTGGTAAGTACAACTATTGTATATAATTTGTTTTCTTCCAAGGCACATATTTCCATATGCAGACACACAAGCATATCGAGGTTAAAAATTCAGACATTAGCTTTAATTTTGGGGTAAAGTGATAGCTTACTTGGTAACTCAGCCAAAAATTTTGGTCCAGTTTGAACCTCTCTTCATTTTGACAAAATACAAGTTACGATTAGCAGTTTAGTTACTGAAAAAAAAATGGAAGCCTATGTTTATGCAATACTTTAATGTATTTGTAAATAACATATACAATACTAGAATAAATAATCTAGAACATTTCTATCTCTGATGCTACAAGTTACACTTGGTTGACAAACACGCAGAAATCCACACTAACATTAATACCTGTACATATGTTCAAAAGAACAAAAAGCAAGAAGAACTGTTCAATATATAAAAATTTCAACAAGAAAATTGTTCAGGAAAAATAAACATGGAACTATTAAACATACAATGAAAAATAGTCCTAAGTACCAAAACTCTCACAAAGAATAGAACAAGTGACAGGAGAAACATACAAAATCTGCTTAACTAAAGTAAAATTTGCTCTCAATGTCAAGGATATCAAGACTGGAATTAAGTCATGCACAGAAGTAATTATTTATCAAAGAAGGCACCAAGCCAGGAAGGCTATGTAGCACCATCAAATGTGAGGAATATTCAGAGGGCGCTAAATATCACCGAGGATGCCAATAAAAGAACAGAAACGCATAAGGTATCAAAAGTATCTGATTCACCAAGAATTCTATCGAGGGAAAAGTGACCATTGGGGACGGTCGGAAAGCAAGACACGTGCTCGTCCTGGAAGTCAGGACATTCAACAAGGATATGCACAAATGTAAGAGGGACAATAAGGAGCAGGGCAGCGCTCCATTAAGTGTCCATGAGTTAAGCGCGTATGGCCAATACGCAGCCTTGCCAGAGTTGTTTCCCGTCACCAGTTACGGTGGTAGGAGGAAGGCCACAGGGGGACACTACCCTAAACCCTCAAACTGCTAGGTCCAAATGGCTTTAAGAGTATGCAGCTTGTTACCAGTAACAGAAGACCAACAACTCTGCCAACAGGCAAGGATGGAGGAATGAATAACTGGGTAAAAGTTGGAATAAGGAATACCTTTATGGGAGATGGGACAAGTGCGGATTTCTTCCTTAGCGGCAATGTCCACACGCTCATTTAAAGAGATACTGTACCAATATGGCTGGGAATCCAGCAAAACTCAACTGTCTTAAATCTACTGGAGATAAGAAACAGCCAATGTTGAATCTCGACAACCACCAGATGGATTGAATTAAAGGACTCCAGAGCCATGAGGGCACTGCGAGAGTCAACTACAACCACAAAGGAGGATTGACAGCAAGAAAGCAGGAGATGAAGAGCATAGAGAATAACAAAGTTCTGCCATGAAGATGCTAGTCTAGGGGACATAAAAATTTGAATACAGAAAACTAGGTTTTGCAGAGTGAAATAATAAATGTTAGAATAGCTTAGGAAGGAATTCTGCCCAAAGTAGCAAAGAATGCTTCCATGGATGGCCAATGAACACTGAAAGGAACATGCCCAACCATCTTTTGTTATTGGGAGGGGGAGCGGAATGTATACGATATCTTGCCAGTATCAAGCTTTTTCTCTGTATTACACTTAAGTAATTGTCAAAAGAAAGCACCAAGCTGGCAAGACTATGTAGCACCATCAAAGTCGCAGGAGATTCAAAAGGCAGTAAATATCACTAAGGATGCAAATACGAGAACAAAAGCACATAAGGCAAGCGATATCAAAGGTATCGGATTCACCAAGGATTCTATCGAGGAACAAATGTGTATTACACTTAGTGCTTATGCTACTAGTAATTTGTATTTGTTTATAAATATGGAGTTTGTCAATTTTTTTCCCCCTAGCTTTTCAGGATGACCAACCACTTATCCGAACACAACTGGTTCGATTTCTACTATAAAGTGCCTGGAGTTTCTGATGCGGGATCATCACAGATTGTATGGTGTGCAGGTGGTTAGGTTATGGTCATTTTAGGATTGGTATCTTATGCCAAATACCTTCACCTTTGATTATTCACCTTTAACACAGCCACAGCTTGCATTTGGCATTAATACAACTTTAGCACCATTTCGCAAGTTGTCTTGGGCTGTCATTCATTCTCCAAACGAGCCATCTTGGACTCGTGACAAAGTGTTGGTGTTTCTTTCCTCCTCTCAGTTCATGGTTGCCCCCTTCAGTCTGGGATATTTTCCTTAAAGCAGTGTTTTTGCTGGCTCTTGTCTTCAGCTGCAGGGGATTGGTTAGGAAGCTTCATACTCTCTTCTGCAGGTGGGGGTTCTCAGTGGGTGGTTTTTGTTTGTGGTTTTTTTTCCTGGCAAAGAATGAGTTGGTCATCTTCATGATCATCTTTGATGATTAATGCTTGGTTGGTCCAGCTGGGGATGCATAATTTGTTGTGTCCGGTGGTAGTACTTTACCACTACCTGCATGCCATCCATTCTGCTGCAGTGGATACACACTTGGTTGACCGTTTCCTTGGTCCCCTGTTCCAAGGCTCATATTCCTCAGGTTGTATGTTATCCAAGCTAGCCACTGCAGTTTACTCTTGAGCCCATGATGTTTGTATTGCTCTAGCAATGGAATACAAACAAATTTTAATTTGCAATTGAGGTATTCAACTTGTCTGATGTATTTAAAGTAGAACTAAAATCAAGAACAATTAACCCACTTACGAGAGGAGTGCAACAAATCATAGATGCAGGTATGCTTGTGCATGTAAAAATGCTTAAGATTACATGTACTATTCTTGCCAAAAAACAAGCATATAATGGAGACTAATTATTATAAATACTTTTATTTTCACTATAATTTTGCTAAGCAGCATTTTTGCATTGTTAACATTAAAAGTTTTAGTTTTCCTTCAACAAAAATTACAACCAGTTCAAATATTGTTCAAAATCAAATACATCACTCTCCAGGTGTGTAATTTTGATAACTACCATCAGTTTTGGGCTGCTCATAATTTTATGATGTTTAAGTTTGACATAATAGGTTAAAACAAGACCTTGTTAGGTGTTACTTGTGGTGAATGAATGATACATTCTTCTATATGTGGCTAGCACATATTAGCACTCCTTTAACTTACATAGTATATACTGTACAGCACTTTCAATTTTCTTATGCAGTATTTCTATTTTCTTGAGTATTTTACAAGCCCACAGATAACTCTTGTCATAATTATAATAAAAGTGTAATTACAGTACTTTTTGTACTCCCACAACCGTTACTGTACCTGTAGCAGGTTTATGAACTGCACAGTAGTTGTCATAATCCTGTGAAAATTACATTCATTTGATTAGAAACTAGGAAAATATAATAAAAAGTTCAAGCAACAATTTGTATAATTTCCATCTTGCAGACTGTGCTTTGAATCTCATACAAGTAATTGTCAAAAGAAGGCAACAAGCCAGGAAGATAGTAGCACTGTCTGTGTTGCGGGACATTCAAAAGGTGCTAAATATCACTCAGGATATCAATACGAGAATGAAAGGCCATAAGGCAAGTGACATCACAAGTATCAGATTCGCCAAAGATTCTGTCGAGGCACAAGTAACCCGGCGAGACATTATAAAAGCAAGACATGCAATCATTCTAATAATCTGGACATTCTACAGGGACGATGCTCTTTGGACAATAATGAGCAGGGCATTGTTCCATTAAGTACCAATAAGTGTACGTGGCTAATATGCAGCCTGTAATGGCAGACCAACTACTTTGCCAACAGTCATGGATTGGCAATTGAATGACTGAGTAGAAATCAGAATAAGAATCCCTTTTCAGGAAATGTGACAAGTATGAATGTCCTCTTTAGTGCAAGTTCTTTTGAGGTAACTCCAGTTTTGCTAGGAACCCAGCAAAATTCAACTGTCTTAACCCTTAAACTGCGCAACGCGCCTGCAGGCTCACGTCTGGTTTGCGCAACGCGCCTCCGGGTATTTGTATTTTTCACGTTCCATTCAAAACTCCCGCGGCTACATGGGGTTCACATCAGCTTCCTCAGGGCTCTTGTAAACAGACGCCATCTTTAAAAAAAATCGTGGTCCACATTCCCGGGTGTGAGAGCCTCAGTAGTGTGTGAGCAACCAAGGCTGGCGCTCGCAGCATGAGCGCACAGCACTGCTGTTCAGCAAGTGACCACAGCATCGCCTAATAATGTCAAAATATATATATAAATTGTATTATTTAGTGTTATATTAGAGCCTGAGTGTGATAATGACTGGGTACAATGTTCAAATATCAGTGATTCAATGCTGTTCACGATGTTCACAGCGTTAGCCACAGCACCAGAGCATTATTTCGTTCATCTAGGAATCTTCAAATGATTTCTTAGGTTCTTTTTCAAAATAAACGTGTGGTCAATTATTCATTTACAGGAATTAGTGACCAGGATTGTGATAATAGCAGGAATGTGGTTATAATTAGCGTTGTGCGTAGTATTGTGGAAGGAGGAATTTTGATGAGGGAGGGAGGGCGAGAATTGAGGTAGCCTCAATTGTGTGTGTGTGGCTGCCACTCTTGTTTTGCTCACCATACTAGCTTAGTGGTTCACTATGGGCAACACATATGTACATGGGTATATATAGTGTGTGTATATAGTGTAAGAACAGCAACAGGAGAATGTTGAGAGGAGCTATTTTGGTGAGGGAGGTGACGTAATCGTAGCGTCGTCTGCTGTGTGATTTTTCATGCAGTGTATGGTGGCCACTGTACTGTTTGGACACAATACCGGCTTACTTGCATAGTTCTGGCAAATAAAACATGTAGATAGGTATATAGAACATGTGTAATAAGAACTATAGCAATATGGTGGGAGGAGCAATGTTGGCGAGTAAGATGTTGGAGTGAGGGAGACTGGCTGGGTGTGGCTGCTCTCACTCAAGGTGTTCTGAATGTGTTCATGGCCCATACGAGGCAGCTGCTATTGGCACATACGAGGCAGCTGCTATTGGCCCATACGAGGCAGCTGCTATTGGCCCATACGCGGCAGCTGCTATTGGCCCATACGCGGCAGCTGCTATTGGCCCATACGAGGCAGCTGCTATTGGCCCATACGAGGCAGCTGCTATTGGCCCATACGCGGCAGCTGCTATTGGCCCATACGCGGCAGCTGCTATTGGCCCATACGCGGCAGCTGCTATTGGCCCATACGCGGCAGCTGCTATTGGCCCATACGCGGCAGCTGCTATTGGCCCATACGCGGCAGCTGCTATTGGCCCATACGAGGCAGCTGCTATTGGCCCATACGAGGCAGCTGCTATTGGCCCATACGAGGCAGCTGCTATTATCCCATACGCGGCAGCTGCTATTGGCCCATACGCGGCAGCTGCTATTGCCTATACGAGGCAGCTGCTATTGGCCCATACGCGGCAGCTGCTATTGGCCCATGCGGGGCAGCTGCTATTGGCCCATGCGGGGCAGCTGCTATTGGCCCATGCGGGGCAGCTGCTATTGGCCCATGCGGGGCAGCTGCTATTGGCCCATGCGGGGCAGCTGCTATTGGCCCATGCGGGGCAACTGCTATTGGCCCATGCGGGGCAGCTGCTATTGGCCCATGCGGGGCAGCTGCTATTGGCCCATGCGGGGCAGCTGCTATTGGCCCATGCGGGGCAGCTGCTATTGGCCCATGCGGGGCAGCTGCTATTGGCCCATGCGGGGCAGCTGCTATTGGCCCATACGAGGCAGCTGCTATTGGCCCATGCGAAGCAGCTGCTATTGGCCCATACGATATTGGCCCATACGAGGCAGCTGCTATTGGCCCATACGAAGCAGCTACTATGCGGTGTTCTGAATGTGTTGATGGTGAATGTATATAGTGTGTGACAGTGTATAGTGTGTAAATAGATTGTATATATACACAAATTAGCATGATACATAGTAAATATGTGCTGCATATGTGTACACAAGTTTCATGCACGTAACACAGTGTCTACGGTCTGCTATAGATAAGAAATGGCCAGTATTGTATTACAACCACCACAGGATGTAAGGGATTAAATACTCCCAGTCATGAGGGCACTGCAAGAGAGAACCACAATGACAAGAACATTAATGATGAGAAAGCAGCTGATAAAGAGCATACAAATCCCCATAAAGTTCTGCTGTGAAGATGCTCCGGAAGTAGGCAACACATACAGGTTTGATCAGGAAAAGCTACAGAGTAGCAAACACAGTCGGCAGACTTTGACCTATCAGTAAACAGAGCAATGAAGTGTGAGTAAGGGAAAATATTCCAGGAAAAGTAACAGTAAGTAATTATTAAAAGGTGGTGCCAAGTTGGGTAGTTACACAGTACCCAGTACAGTGTTGCTAGATATTCAAAAGGTGCTACATATGCAAGAGGTGCTAAATATCACCCAAGACACTAATATGAGAACAGAATATAAGGGATATAAGGAAAGCAATATCAAAGGTATCGGATTCACCAAGGTTTCTATCAAGGGACAAATGACCTCCAGGAAGATTGGAAAAGACATACGAACATCTCAAAAATTGGCATTCTACCAGGAGTGCATGACTGTGGAACAATACAGTTCGGACAAAAGGGGAAACAGGAAGTTGTTCCATTTAGTGATCATGAGATTTACATAGCATGACAAAGAACAACACACCTCTAAGTTATAGCACATGTCTTAGCTGGATAGAACTTGAAGCAATGAGTGGTGGCCCAGAAGGACAATCTATCGATCGCAAGTTGAAGCTAGTGTTGGAGGAAAGGAAGATTATCTCTGTGAAACCAGTGTGAGAGATCATTAACATAAAAAGTCTGAGAAAATATCAACTGAAAGACAACAGGACTAAAATCCTTAGGGAAAGTCCTTTAACCCTTCATCTGCACATAGCGTTCAGGGGTGCCTCACATCACTTTAATGATGGTGCAGAGTGACCAGAGATGCCTTTAGGTCTAGAGAATGATTTAAAAGTTCCACAGATACGTGGGGCCCACATTTCCTTTCTCAATCCTCCAGGAAACAGAAGTCATCTTGGAAAAAATTACTGGTGTATTTTGGTGTTGGTGCCACTTCCAGGTAACACAGCCCAAGCAGTCCAAATTCCACTAAGAAACACACTTCTGTATGTCATGGGAGGCATAGTGAGAAACAGAGCAGTGTGTGTTTATTTAGTGTCATGAAAAGTAAGAGGGAGTGAGGGACAGACAAGATGGGCAGGGAAGAGAGCATGGAGTGAACTTCATGCATAGTGCACACATGGGAGTGTACTTCACTTGTGTACTCTTACAGCAGGCAGGAGCTGCCCCCTCATACCTGCAGGTGGTGCACAAGAGAATTCCTCACCTTGTCAAAGAACCACCCACTGAAGGGGCTCTCACCTGTAGTTTAGTTGGCCTTTGAAGTGCAAGGATTTTTTTTAATTTCTTTATTAAAGAAATAAGTAATAACCTTTTAATGACAAAACCCAAACAAATTATCTAAATTATCCAACAAATATGTAAGAGAACACATGTACCTCCTCCACTGATCAAGACAAACTAGGATTTGCATTACCAAATATACAGATGAGTTATTTTGTCTCGCCAGTGATTGCCATCTATAATACTTATAGTTGTATATGTATTTTTTGTTGTCAAAAATGTCACATCAGTCTCTGTCATATATTCTAATATTGAACACTGTGTCAGCTTCCTTTGGTGTTAGCAGAGTGACACCATGTTCAGCTAAGGCCTTAACTGGGGACACAACCAAGCTAAAGGTATCCAGGTCATCTTGCCACATGCGGATAGTATCACGCAGGAGGAATGCTGTTGGATGTGGCAGCGTCAGCAGAATTACACATTCCTTTACTCTGAAACAGAAACAACATTCTAAATAACAAAGCTGTATTTTGGGTCAAATCAAATTTGTATTATTAGGTTAACAAATGTTCTCTCTCAAAAGTGCAGTACAGTATTAATAGTATATATTTTATGGTTCCAAATATGGCACAACAAGCCCTCAAATTTTCTACTATCTTTTTCAAATTCGTCAATTTATGAGAAAGTTAAAATGTCTACAAGATCATCTTTCTAGATTTACAAATATTTATAAAATATAAATAAATTGATTAACAACAAAGTCTGAATCCTAGGAATCATCCAAATCTAAAAATATATATATACTGTACCCGAATATATATATAAATATGTACATACATGTATGATGCTAAGCTAGGGAAGTTAAGGGACTTTGATGATAGTCATGCCCTTAAAGATGACCTGGACAAAATAAGTACAGTATGTAGTCACACTTAGCAGTCACAGGGATTGTCCTCCTCACCACAGCTAGGGTGTCCAGAACCCTTCAACTTGACCGTTCCTCACTGACGGCAACTAAAGCAGTACTGCAGCCTTGGGTATCACACTCAATACCAGTTTCTATGACAAATACAGCTACTTCTATGACAAATATAGTGTATGTACCTTTGTGGCAAACTTGTAAGCAGTCCACCACATAGGAAGCTTAAAAAAGGTGCCCTCCTAGACTTGCCAACTAGCAAAGCAATGGGTAAAACACATTTTGAATCTAACAGTGAAAATGTAGGAAGCAAAAGTGTTACAAAAAATCTTAGTCCAGCACTCTTCCATGCTGACCCAAGCACAGTTTATATACCAGTACCTCCACTGTTTTATTCCCATGCCAAATATTAGCATTAAAAAAAATAAAAGATCTACAAGACCTGTGACTGTGTTAAAAGATCGAGAACCTGGTAACCTGTCCGAGGAAGAAGCCTGGTACTTGTCATTTTTCAGGCAAGTGACTCACAGTGAACAAATAAGATGCTAGCTTGGCCATGGTTAGACCTGTAGGGTACACAAATCTGTCAACACCCACAGTAGCAGTTGGTAGTACTTAATGTGAAGTAAACACCAAAATCCCTCACAGTCTCATGTACTTTAACCCTTAACATGCTCGGGGTCTAATATCCTGCTATCCACACAGGCGCATGTCATTTTGAAAAAAAAAAAATTTTTTTTTTTTTTGCTAATCTGTTAAGTTCTGTTCACTGATCACGGGAAAAATAAAAAAAAAATTCTATTGTACTTACTTTTGTTGCAATAGAGCCGAGAAGCTCTGCGATGACGTCACAATCTGCATGGTCGCTCATGCAGTACACGCCCGGGAGATGTTGCGCGCGGTCCTCAAACAGCCAGAGTTGCCACAAATATATTTTCGCGCTATTTATTTACAATGTCTAAGCGCATTTTATCTAATTTTTTTTCACTAATTGTGTTTCAAATACTGTTTGAACATATTTTGTATCAATAATTGTTGCATATTTGAGTATACACAGGCGCACACAAATGTTTTCAATTACGGCAATATAATATGTCATTACAGTCTATTATATTATATGTTCTGCTTATATGTTTACATATTTACACACTCGCACACGCTATACACACTTTGAAGCACACTTAGAAGATTTCTAGACTGTGGTAGTCATTGAAGCAGTCGACAGCACATAATGGGATACCACACGTTTCACACCATGTTTGCACAAGCTTCCGTTTCTTGTCTCTACGTGTCGTTGTTTTACACACCAAGCAATCACGTTGGGCTATTGCACGCTTCACACCAGGTGGCAAATACTTAAGTTTGTGTGCTAGGAAGCCTTCAGTGTGAGCGAGGCGTGGAGTACCAGCATGCTGCAACAGTGGGTTTATGATGGGCCGCTGAATACCTGGGACATCTTTTGCAAACTTTCCTAATAACTGTATTGCAGCATCAAATACAAAGTCACGGAAAGTGGGCTTACGTCCAGTTCTCACAAGGTACATGTTGAAACAGTTCAGCATGCTCATGTCCACAAGATGGAAGAACACTTTTTTCGTCCACCTACATGTCTTCCGCACACACTCTGCAGTGCCAATCATCATGTCTGATTTATCAATCAACCGCATGTTGATATTATAGTCTAAAACAGTCTGGCTTATATAGTGGTGCGTTTGTTTTATGGCTCACTTTCCCACTGTTCACCATTGTTCCATCATGAATTGTTGTCAACAAGTTCACCTCTCTTTTGTCTTTCCACCGAACTGACAGAATGTTATCACTTTTCCTTCTCTGACACTCACCAACTGCAATGTCGTTGTCAAACACAGGCATTTCCCTTCGTTGTGGCTTTACTGTACCAACCAATCCGGTTCTATTTTCTAGCAAGAACCGAGCTAGCAAGGGACTTGTATAGTAATTATCTGTGTATAAAATGTGTCCCTTGTTCATCCACGGAGCCATGATGGTCTTCACTACACTCCCCGAGAATCCATGTTCGTCGTTACCGGGAATGTCTACATCACTAGCCGAGTACAGAATCATGTGTAACACGTATCCTGTCTCACAATCACAAAGAACAAAAAATTTCAGGCCAAATCGGTTTCGTTTTGAGGGAATGTACTGTTTGAATGGAACACGTCCCTTGAAAAGTATGAGAGATTCATCAACCACCAGCTTCTGTGCTGGTACGTAAAAATCTCTGAATTTTCCAATAACATCGTTCATGTAGTGCCTCACTCGCCACAGTCTATCATCAGGTGTTCGGTCCTGAACACTTCCAAAATGTAGACACCTGAGGAGTATCTGAAACCTGTCTCGTGACATATATTTCCCGAATAAAGGTGTTGGTATTGTCTTGTCCTTGCTCCAATAGTCATTTATTGCATGTTTGTGACAGTGCTTCATCAACAAACAGAGTGCCAAAAACACATACATTTCCGCCACTGTGGTATTTTTCCAACGCTGCAGTCGTGAAAATTCTGTGATTTCCCTCTCAATCAGGTAAGCAGCATGCAGGTTCGTTTGGTGTACAATGTATTCCATGAGTGGTTCATCATAGAATGCTGTAAAATATTCCATCTCAGCCATGTCCTCACCTTGATTAGGGAAAAGGTTTGTAATCCCTACATCTTTATCGTCAAAGTGAGGAATATTAGGAATAAAATCGTCACCATCACTCCACTCAAGTACACCAGGCGTCCTGCGAGATGCAGAGGAAAGACGGCGAGGAAGCGATGCATACCGGCGACCAGGAGCTGAATACCGTCTGCGAGAAGCATGGCGGCTACGTGCACGTGAGGTGGGTGCACGTGAACACGAGGGTCTTGGTCCCTCATTTGGTGCTATGCGGTGGCGCTTGGCTGGGCGAGATGCTGCTGACGCGACAATTTCTCGCCCAGTTACACCACTGGTACCAGCCACAGGCTCAATAAAACTTTGATCTGAGTCACTAAACCCAGAAAAGGAGTCACCTCCCTCTGACTCGTCACCCTCAAACAGAAAATATCCACAGGAACTGTGAGGTCGTGGTAGAATTGGGGTAGAAAATGGGCGAGGAGGCATGGGAGAGCGTGTAGGCCTCGCCATGGCATGGCGGTCATTCTCACTTTCACTGCTGCTGCTACTATCTCCCGACAACTGTGTATAATCCTCATCGTTGTCTGAATCGTCAAACACACTTTCTTCACCTTCAGAGAATAATTCGTGGGCTATTTGCTCTGGGGTGAGGGACTGAGTGATGCGTGCTCGTGAGGCGTTTGACCGTGCGCTCGCCATGGTGACTCTCGCTAAACTGAGGCCTCCCATGCCATCGGAGCGTGAGCTGGATTTTTTTTCAAAATGGCCGCTGTTTACTAGAGCCCCTGGGCAGCGTATGGGACCCCCAGCTACACCGCGGGCCATTCAAATCGTGCGCGGTACCCATACACTTCATATGAAGTGAAGCGCAGTTGACTGGTAAAACGATTTACACTTCATATGAAGTGATGCGCACTTTAAGGGTTAAGAGCATGTTTGAAGTGATAGGGATGACACAGATGACCACATGTACTGAACTGCTGAGACTGAGGAACAGTCTGGAAATTAATCACGTGTAAGAAGCTGTAAAAACACACAATCTTAGCCTAGAGTAACCAGAATCAACAACCCACAGTGAAACCATGTCAAACTAAACTGGAAAATTAATAACAGCCTGCCAGCTGCTGTGTGAAGTATAGTTAGGGGGTTTATTGGTGGGAAAAAGACAAGTGCCAAGAGGTGCTACCACCTAGTGGCAGTAGGCAAAGGTATCCAAGCAGGACAATGGTTGTTTACCATGGTGCCTCCTTGGCAGTTACCTGTGATGTCAAAGGAGGATTCTGTAGACTGGATTTACTATAGTAACTCCCTAGCACCCTAATGACAGTACAAGGACAGCCTGAAAGGTTTCCCGAGGTACCCGAGTAGTATGTCATCCAGTCTAACCGAGTATGATCCTGTAATATGGATACAAGAGAATCTTACCTTAGGGAGCAGAAGAATATGAGAGTTCAGAGTATCTATCTTTTTAATGTTACCCAAACAAGTACCCTTATTCCAATTATTTGTATTTAACACTTTTAGCAGGGAACTTACAGTCTGAAGAAATTTTCAGGTTTTTGTGTAAATGCTCCAAAAATGGGAAACAATCCTCGAGTCATATCAAACTTGAACTGCATGGCACCAGCATCGCTAAATCTGGTCTGCAGTATAACCTCCTCGTACACATACTGTGGAAAAAACAAAAACATGCATTTAACACGTGTCAAAAGAATAATGCAACCTGGGATTCGGCTGAATCCCAGAACAATGCAAAAGAACAATACAACCTGGGATTCAGCTGAATCCACTAAGAGCCCCAAGACTCCCAACCAGGGATTTCACACACATTGCCCCGTGCACTCTGCCTTGTGGTCAAGCCAGAGTGTATGAGGTGTGTACACACACACATTTATACATCACATGGTTAATACAAATCATCTGGCATATCTTTCACATATCAAAGAATTAATCTAGTAAAGAGTACATAATGGTACCTTACTTTATTAAGTGTATCTGCTACAATCTTCCACAACTGCATAAAGAGTGAAGATGCAAGAATGTCTCTGAGAGCATGCAGATGCCTAGCAAGCACCTCCAATAAAGGGCAGATGCTCGGACTGAGTTCGTTGATCTTGTTGAAGTCTAACACGTGTCTCGGGTTCATCGTGTGGAACCATTTATCTTGGCGATATGGCTGACTTCTGGCACGGACCTCACTGAAGACATAGCTAGCAAGTGTGCGAACCATCTCTCCTTCAATGTGTGTATATAATTTTATAGTGCCATCAAAAACTGAACCCGAGACCTCTGCTAACTGGGCACTTGTTGGCACATTTGCATTTAAGTTTAAGGATTCAAGAGCATCCTGCAAAAAAAAAAAAAAAATATATGTATTACGGTGTATACAATACATACACATGGTGCTCAATCATCTCTTGCTATTGAGAGTCTTCTAAAGTCTCCAATCCCATGTGTTACAAAAGTCAGCATTTTCCTCATCTATTAATTACATTGTATTACATTTTTTAGTTAGTAAAAGATAAAACTATCATAAAAAATAAGCAAATTACTATTCCCATAAACCAGCATTCTCCTACAACTGAAGTAAGATTATAGCATTCATATATTTATATAAAGGTTGTTCCATTTTTATGCACACTAATGAAGACAAATAAACACCCCCAGCAATTGTTACATTGTTTGGATTAAATTTTACTCTTCCATTAAAAGTAATATTACACTGGAATATTTTATCTTTAATAGATGTTAATCACACCATTATGACTGACTCACTATCAGGAATCCCGGGTTCAATTCCCAAACAGAATAAAAATAGTTGGGCATGTTTCCTTTCACATAATGCCCATTCATCCAGCTATTCACCTAACAGTAAATAGGTACCCAGGAGTTCATCAACTGTTGTGGGGGTTGCATCCTCGGAAGGATACATATATATACTATACATAACAACTCTATACTATAACAACTCCCTATTATTCTTACCTGCCTTGCTATTTGCTCTGGGGAAATGAAGGAAGTCATAAGAGAACACTCATGAGAATTAAAGGTAAAGGAAGCAGGATCATCAGGAGAGGTGGAGGGTAGAGCAGTGGTGTTGTAGCCTGCTAGTGCAGCAGTTGTCTCCTCCTGAATATGGCCCAAACATTCTTGGTAGTACTGCATTTCAACAAAGAACTGGAAAGATTGATTTTCTTATAAAAACCTTTACTAACAAAACATAATGAGTAAAGTTAAAATAATAACAATTATTAAGATGTGTGAAATTAAACACTCCTTTCTGAAGCAGTTCTTAGGATGTATGGAAATATTTTTATGCTAGTAACCTTCAATAACATAAGAATATTTCTGCCTAAGAATTATAGCTGAAGTAACATACAGGGAGGTCTGCCCAGTCAAGAAGTGTGGTGGTGATATGGTGGACAGTGTTGAGGATGGCAGGATAGTTGGACGTGAGAGGATCTTGTCTCTCACTCTTCATCACCTGCAACACGCGCACACGGAAGTCATCTATCAACTCCAGCTCAAGCTCCAGAAACTGTAATCTGCAATCAAATGAGAACATTAAACTCAACAACAATACAGTACAAAAATGTTATTAATTATTAATATTTGCCCAGGAATTGCAGGTTTGGATACTGAACCAAAATTAACTTATCTTTAAAAGCTTGTGGTAAAAAATTATACTAAAATTTTAGAGACCAAATATGCCAACTAATGACAAATCATGGAAGGGAACTTATGGTAGGTTCACAACCAAATGAACCTGCAATCGATTCTGTGCAGGATTGAGATGTTTGGGCATGTTTTCTTACACCTGATGCCTGTTTACCTAGTAATGAGTAAAGTACCTAGGAATTGGACAACTGTTGAGGATTGCATCCTTGGGAAAGGTATGTCATTGGCCAAGGGAAATTGGTGAGCCTTACAAGCTTCCTGTTCTCAACAAAGAGAAACATTTTCTAGACAAGTGTAGTACTGCTATTTGAAGAAATCCTTGTAAATACACTAGGATAAAGGGAAAGTAATGAAAGAAAACCTACATACGAATAACAAGTACAGTACAAGTATTGCAGTGAAATAAAGATATATACACAAAATACACAAATAAAAGTATGAAAACTGGGAATAATAAAGTAGAATGATAGGATTGGTAATGTCCCAATGACAGATAAAGACAGAGCACGAGAAAATTGATCACCTGTGTCCTGGCTGAGGAAGTCTTTTGTATCGATCAGTGATTCCTTGCAGGAGCAGAATGAGCCTCTCCCCACAGTGTGCTGCCTCGCCACACTCCACTGCCTGCCAGGCTAATTCATCTGACACAAGCTCATCCATCAGCTCCAAGGCAACTGAAAATAAATTAAAAAAAAAAAAAACTTAGCTTCAAAATACAGTCCCTGTCCAATTGTCTGACCAATTCAGGACCTAATACAATTTTACAAGTTGGCAATCATATGAAAACATACCAAATCACCTTCCTCCATAAAATGTTAACACTATATCCAAAACCTGCTCACAAATGTTTTCTAAGTACAATGCTGTAAGCTAAATGCCACTGGTTCAGAGAAACCACTCGAAAAATCTCGTGCATCAAAAATCGAGGGCCAGGAGAAAGTGCAGTCATTCCCTACCATGCCATAAAAGAGAATAACAATAAGGCTGGTGCCATTCAACTCTATCCTGCCAAAGAAGCAGTGACCCCTGAACCCCCAAAGAAATGTCAACCACAAAAGGGACAGAACCCCACTGCAATCAGGCTTAGCTCAGAAGCTGAAATGCCAAAGCAACAGCCAATAGAACTGATACAACCGCCTCCTCTTCCAGAAACAGGAGAAAAAGGGCAAAGCAGATCTGAGGGAAGGGGACCAAGCTGACTCCAAAACGTGAGTCAATAAAGACCATCAGCATGCAAAATGAGCCACAATGTAGAAAAATATTACCTCCACAAGGAGAGAACAATATAATGTATATACTGCCGCTACTGCATACTCTGCAAGAAGATGATCCTACCACTGGAATCAAAGCCAAAGGACCCAGACCACCACAAAGCTAAACAGAAAAAGGCTCCTGGACAGCTTAAGCTAGTTAGGTGCCCACCCAGTGATCCTTCATAACCTGAGTGCCGGAAAAGAAAATGCAAACACACATGTAACCACCAAGTGTCCACAATCTGAGGTAGAGCAGGTGCAAACAAGGAAGAGTAGCAAATCTAAAAAGACAATTCGCCCCAAAATGCCTGGAATGCCAACCCCCACCTCATGCCACACAAGTGTTCGTGAATGGCAGAAACTGCACCAAGCCTACAAAGACAAAAATGGACTGTCGACAGGCTAGGAGGACAAGACCTCATAACTCAACCAAGTGGAAGAAATGGACCCCAAGTCAAAAAAGGCAGGATCCAGCAAGAAATGAAGTTCTGATCCTGCAATGGGACCCGAAGCAAGTTTGTCTGCATGTACAGAAGCAGGGGGGAAAAAGATGAGACAGAAACCTTCTGAAAAATAAATTAGAGAAGCCTACTGGGAAACTGTGATCTTAAATAGCAACAGGAAATATGGAAAATTCTCCATACAAACCAAAAACTCCTTGAACCAGGCATATGACTATGAAGGAGTGAAGGACACCCATGGACCCCCTCCCCCTGTTTCTCTCAACCCCCGGGAAGTTTCACAAAATTGCATCAACAAAGACCCCAGGATCCCTGTTCTGTGTGATATAGAGTTCTTAGTGATCGCTTGCTTGCTTGCTTGCTTGCTTGCTTGCTTGCTTGCTTGCGAATGCTTGTACATTCATGCAGCGTTTCTCACATTCTAGTATATAGTATATATAAACCGTGACTTGTTAAAGGAATAAAGCTAATTATACTTATACTGTATTTTGTTCTTATTAGTGAAGAAAATACTCACACTTTCTTTCCACATGTATCCAGCGAGCAAAGATACGACCCTGAGTTAAGACGGAAAGAACAGAAGGCTGTGAGGCCGGGTACCCATAAGTTTGACTCATCTCTCGCTCAAAGTTGAGGGTTTCTTGAACAGTGGTACAGAAAATGTCATCATCGTACTGAACTTGAGGAAGGTCAGCCGCTAGCTTGATGACAGCCAGCCGCACCAAACCTCGCATGAACTCCACCTGTACACCAATTACAAAAATAATTTAATTTTGTTTTGGATTAGATTTCAATTGCTAAAAATTAAATTTTATAAGTACAATACTATACCATTTGCCTGTTAATAATTAAAAGTGTGGTTTATATCTATCAAAGATATAAAAACATTTATTATAACGGCTGTGTGCAAATTTGGAACCAGCCCTAGTATTCTCAGTGTAAATTATTATGTATCTCTCCCACCTCCACTCTAGGGAACAGAGATTTTTACATTTTGAAGCGGTCCCAATCATTTAAATGTTTTATTGAGCAAATTTTATACAAGTGATGTCAATATTGTTATAATATGTACATCTATATGGATGTCATGGAGTTAACCAAGACCAATGAAAACATTCTGCTATTGTTTTACTTGCTCCCTATGCAATGTGGTTATTGTGGACTAGTGGCCTTCAATTATCATAAATTCACAATTTAGTCTTTCCTACCAGTGTTTGAATCTTTTTCTGGATGACGTTCCCAGGCAGAATAGCATCACAGGAGTGGGCTACAAGACACTTCCTTTCATCTGTGCCAAGAATAGATTTGTGTGCAATATAGAGTAGGTGTCCATTATAGGCCTATATACAGTAGTCAAATCACTTTTTGTCAATTATGGTAGGTGTGCATAAATCAAGTTATTCCACACATTGTGTAAACTAAAATGAAACCATTTAGTTTAGTTAACATACCCCCCATACATCCTGTGAGCAGTAGTGGCTATAAAGTGAAACAATGAACATAAAAACCATCCAACCTGAACATCATCGCCCTCTCTCCCGCACGATGAACAGACAAACTGAATATCAACATGTCCACATACATAATGACTTCCCCACTTGGCTCCCTTCCGATGTGCACAAAACCAAAAAAACTTGCATATTTGTATTTTTTTTTTGCATTTTCTTTAATTTATCATGCAAATACATAATTTTATAAGAAATTATTAGTTTTTTTTCCCATGAAGAGGTAAAATGATTAAGTGTTGATTAGCTAAACATTAAGGGTTAAAGACCATCAAAATCTTACTTTTGCCGAAATATTTTGATGACCACACCGATTTAAAACTGGTTGGATGCGTGTATTTAGAAAATTCTCATGGGCAGAGATCCACTTCAAAATTTGAGTGAAGTACCACTCAGGATTTTCTCGGCTGTTTGTGGGCTTGTTGCCACTAAAGTGGAAAAAGAAGCGCACCTGCAATACAGATCATAAAAACACATTTAATTGTAGGACAAAATAAACAGCCATATAAATACTGTATAGCAAAACATTCAGCCCACTAAACATTTTCAACACTGCTAGGCTTATTTATTGTTGGAAAATTAAGAAAACAAGAAAGAATAAACTACACTTGCCCGAGTGACAAATGCCGTGTGATTTACTACTTACTCAATTCTGTACAGTATTTTATATGCATTAGTACCTGTTTTCTAATTTAATCCATTCCTAAAGATGGTTCGAAAACCGAAACGAATTTTCCCATCAGAAATAATGTAAATTGAATAAATCTGTTCCACACCCCCAAAAATATTAACTTAAAATACATTTTATACATACTACTACTGTACATATATTTTGTATTACAGTATGTACAAGTATCTCTTACCTTTATTGGCATTTACCTCTTGTTGATGTATGGAAAACAGTGAGGAAGGGGGGGAGGAAAAAGATGTGTTAGTGTTTGGAAGGGAAGTCCCCTTCCATTATAACAGCAGCGATGACATTTCAGGGGTACTCTCTCTTTCATGTTTTGCAGGCACACCACCAGGACCTGGCTGTGGCTCATTGCTTGCTTGTCTTACTAAGAATCTGTCTATAGACAATTGTTTTTCCCTACATTTTAACACTTGTCTGTAGGGAGACATCACATTGTCTCACTCTGAATGATCTCTTGATTTCCTCTATTGTCATCCACACAGCTATTTTCTTAGGTTGAACTTTACCACTGACTTTCTTGGAACCCATGGTGTGATACATTACAAAACAGTGCACACGACCAACATGTGACTAACAACTGTATCGTGATATATTACAAAACAGTGCACACGGCCAACATGTGACTAACAACTGTATTAGTTACACTACTCCCTGGTTACTGCTTCTAGGTAGTAGGTTACTACTACACGAGTACAATGTGGACTATGACTAAGAACAATTGAAAGGCAACTTAAGCTAACTGAGGAGCAGACAGGAATACAGACAGCCTCAGTTAGTCAAAAAGCAATTCTAATCTTGAGCAGGTATATGGTCTTCCCCCAGATACCACCAGAATTAGTTATGGCTTTACTTAAATTGGCACATTAGAGTGTTATGAAGCAAAATAATTTCTTCTCCTAAAACACACACAGTATGAAAGTCCCAGAAAGAGCATCACGACTGCCCAAAATATGACAACTTGTACACAAATCATCCCAGTCCCTTCAGCAAATAAAACATCTTGTATATGAACTACTACTGATACAAAATTATATTTACCTTACTAAAATAAATACAGTACACTCGCTATTCACAGAATAACGAGTCATACACATACATTTAAGAGACGTACACAATACAGTATAGTATTCACGTACATTGGCGAGAAATCCACAAATGGTAAAACCAAAATAATTACAGCTTATGTGAAATAGAAAAATACTTGACACACCTCCAATGGTCTAAGCAAAAGACGGATGGGTAGCACAGGAGACTCGAAGTCCACAGCAATAGCTTGGGAGGCGGCAGGAGAGTCTGGTCGCTTAAAATTCTCACTGGCAATGTTATCTGTTAGAAATAATTTATATTCAAATGATAATGTGTACTATGATTAAGTCTCAACAAAACCAAATAACAATATACTCTCAATGATTTTTAATACAAAAGCAATTGATAGCACAGATCAGCTACACATTGAGGTGAGACCACATATTCCAAGTACAGGGATTATTTAGGTTCTATGCATATATACATTACACTATCATTACCCCATTTCCTACCTTCATGAGGTGGAGAATAAGCCCAGATAAAGCTAGTGTTGAACAAAATACCATGTTCTAGTGAGCTAAGCAGTAGCTCCAAAGGGCTTATGAACTGCAATTTCCAGGGCTAGGGCCAACACACACACAAGTACAGCAATCATGACTTTCAGCCTTCTGTGAGCAAGGACCAGAATCATGCCCATTCAAAAAAGCATGGGAGCATGCAAGGATCATAGACCAACTCAAAACTGAAGAAAACAGCCCTCGAAGTCAAAAAGAAATCACAAAATCAATTGTAAAGAAATGTTTGGTAACAAATCATTACCAAGTAAGGCTCAAAACGCCCAACTGAACAATTGAAACTTCTAGTCGCCTCCCTCCACTGCCACCAGATGACAGCACTCAACTACACAGGGGTCCAGTGAGGTGAACCTCCTCACTCTCAACGTTAGTTTTCTTGAGCTTTACGGCCAGTGACCCCTCACTCTCAAGTCAAAGTGGAGCCAACACAACATGAGTAGGAAGGAAGAAACAGATGAGAAAAGGAAAGCCACTGAGGAGCCCTCTAGATAAAAGTGCTTCTTTACACTCCATGAAATTTCCCAGTCATTAGTCGGGCAAAGGCCAAACTGACTTACTGTACTTGGAAGAGGAAGAAAGGGTCCAGAGAGCCACCAAGGACCCACCAGAAAGGTGTTTCACTACACTCAAGCTGGTTAACTGGAAGGGGCTGCTTTGGTGGCTTAGTCGCAATCAATCAACCATGGAGAATAAAACAAAGGGGAAAACTCACCAGCAGTAGATGAAGGCAGAAGACAATATTCCCTGGAGAAGGGGAAATCATAAGTACAAGATTTTAGGAAACTGCAGAAAGGTTATTGGTCCATACATGGCAGCTCCTATTTATTTCTGCAAAAACTCATTCATATACATGTCCAACCTAAGCTTGAAACACTGCAGTGATGCCACGTCCATTAAGTTACCCGGTAATTTGGTCCATTAATCAACAGCCATGTTTCCAACCCAGTATTTACCAAGGTCTTAACTAAATCTAAACTTACCCTGTTGACCAGACCACACACACTAGAAGGTGAAGGGACGACGACGTTTCGGTCCGTCCTGGACCATTTACCCTGATTTATGTACATTGTTTCCATGTTCTATTTTATGTTAATAAATTTAGCACTTCATTAATATCCTAATGAGAGGCTTTTAAAAATGCATTTCAATCATGAAATAAAATTGCCACACCTGGTAGAGAGAGCTGCAGGAAGTACTGGGTGAGGGTACACAAACGCTGGAGAGACTCTTGAGAGGCGGGTGGCTGATGTACACTTTCACTGCTGCTACTGCTAAAGGGCCATTTGATGGCCTTCAATACACCCTCAAATTCACTGCAAAAAATAACATCAGGTCAGAGCACTTCATTACCTTAATGAGCTGACATTTAGGTGTGTGGCTAATGAACATGCTGAACACACAATATTGAAAATGGTTACTAAATAAGGTGCATGGGTAACTTACCACACAGCAGCAATTGAGATCATCTGTAAAATGTGACACACATGTTAGGTAAGAAAATAAATGTAGATTATATTGTTACAGTGTGGCTGACATGGTAAGTCCACCCTCTGGCCACAAATGCACTACTTAATATACTAAGCAATCTTTGCCAACATGCACACAAACTTAGACACTACTATACATATGACTATTGATTATAAATTTGCTGTCCGATTTGGATAGTTAATATATTCATAATATGCACCATGGTGTAGTACTAATTTAACTTAATTCAGTAGTGTCACTCAGCTTTATCCTGCCCCTGTTCTGCCTGGGCCAGCACCTGGTGGCAACCATCTGTACTAACAGGCTCAAACCAGTTTCGAATGAACAAATTGTTTGGATTGAATCGTTTGCCAAGTCATTTGGTAGTTTCAATGTTTCATTTCTTATGAACTTTGCAGTTGTCTGTTAAGCTTTGCTGACTTTCCAGATGTCTTCTTGGTGAGGATGACAACAATAGTGGCCTGTTCCTTGCACTTGTATAAGGAGTAGCCTGATTCTGGCTCTGGTCTTTGGTAAGCCAAACAGGACTCCTACAACTGATGTGACCCAGGAGTGGGGAGCCATCTTAGCAACATAAGCTTCACGAAGCCACCAAAGGGCTCCGCCCAGAAGAATGTTGTTCCACTGAATAACATGAACTCAACACACACATTTCCGAACAATGAGGATTTTGTTTAAGCGAGGTTCGTACTGTGCTAATCTATTTATCTATGAAGTTTTTCAAAAGAATAACAAAAGAAATTGACTACTAAATTACCTGGTGAATCTGTGAGTGCACACTTGATGCCAGTAGAGAAGAGTGTTGGTGATGAAAGATACCAAATTCAAACACTGAGAACCTTGCACTGATTTTGCTGTGTCCAAGAGTTGACTATAGCCCACCAGAGCCTGTCCCTCAGCTCCAATGTGAAGAGCTGCTTCAATCTCTTTGCTGTTGGGATACAAAAACAGTATTGTCTACATCACCACATTTCCTGTCTTCTTCCACCTAAGGCTTCTACCTTAGATGCAACCCCGACAGAAAACCCAGCCGGTAATCTCTACAACATATAACTTAATAGTTGATTCTTGTACACCTTCCCAACATATCTCCTACATGTGCTCTTGCTTTTCCTATAATGTTGCATTACTACCAAGTACTAGCTCACTCTAATTACTTTTGTATATTCCCATTCAATCCTTTAATGTACTGTATATCAACTATTCTGTATATCGTATATCACGTATACTATATTATGTATACTGTATATTATGTATCATGTATACTGTATAACATGTACAGTATACAGTACTGTGCATCATGTATAATGCATAACATATACAGTATACTATATATCATGTATAATATATGGTATATCATGTACAGTATACTGTATATCATGTGCAGTATACAGTATATCATGTATACTGTATATCCAAACTATAATAAAGAATCTAAGCCACATTACCAACCCACATCCGGTATCTCTAACCAAGTATTAGTTACCAGATATATTAGATACCCCCATACCTTCCAATGTACTCTACACTATTATAGTATCTAGCATGTCTTTGTCCCTATTTAATAATACCATAAGCATCTCCTAAATAGTTCATTTAAAAGGCCTGAATTTAGATTTAAGTGTATTATACAGTAAGGTACAGCAATATATACTATTAACACTCAAACATCACCCTAAATTTACTAGCATTTACCTGTAACTTTCTACTACTAGACAATGCTTTTTATAGTACAGTACTCTTATTATTTCTGCTGTCAAAACTGAATAAGCAGCAAAATGCATGTTGAGCAGGATACAAACCTTTACTACACATTCTTTAGCTTGGTCTCTCTGCCCATGGCCCCCTTAACTTAAGTCCGATAACCTTGTTACCATTATAGTTTTATCTGCTAAGTAGCCCCTTATCCTCTCCACTAGTTACCACTGCAGGACTCCCAGGCGTTCCAGCTTCCAAAACAGTCAAGTCTTTTGTATAGGTTCTGCCAAAAGCATTCTTTAACTTGAGGAATATTCCATCAGTTTATTCATCTCTTTCCTGTGAAATTGTAATCATGCTGGAATAAAATTTAGCAGGTTTATACAGAGACTTTCCAGGCCTGAACCCAAACTGTTGATGTGTTAACATTTTATTGCTTTCCAGGTAGTTTTGATTCATGCAAGCCTGATTATCTTAGCCATCATACAGGCCATGGATACTCATCGGTGTTTTATAGGATCTTCTAGAACTCATTTAACAGAGTGACTACATTGGCCATTTTCCAAAGAACTACTAGTTTGTGTACTTTAAGTCAAGCCTGCAGTATAGCCCACCGTGGATAGTAGAGCTCAGCTAAACCCAAGTACCCAAGGTGATATACTTCAAGTCATACTGTTTTGTTTCTGCTCAGGTCAATGAGAAGCATCTCTCTCTACATCCTCCTTGGAAAAGCAAAATGTGTTCTCAAAATTGCAGTTGCTTGTGTTAGTGCCGGTGCCACAACTGCCCGTTCCTTCAGGATCATATTTAAGAACTTTATGTTCATGGCTTCATGCATGTCTTTTTCCATTTCCAATAAGTGTTGTCAACTTTCAAGCTCTGGAGTTCTTCATTAACATGTAATTTGCTTTCTACAAAGTTAAAAGTTAGGGTTGGACTTGCTTTTGTCCATAATCCCTTTTATAAAGTTTTGCTTCCCTGTCCTCCTCATTTTAGGCCTGTTTGAATTGCAGGTAAAATTTGGGAGGTTGGTCATTTCCTATATTTCCTGGCTCGTACTTTTTCCTCTGTAGCTTTCCGGCAGGATACATTAAACCAGTCTTTTTGATAAATGCTCTCTCACTGTTTTGGTATATACTCCAGAGTGTTCTTTGAATATCACAAACATGTTTGCATATATTACATTGACATCAGTTCCCTGAAGCTCATAGTCCCATTCAATATCTCTGAATTATTCCTTTAGTTGTACATGCGCTTCCCTCTTGTAATCCATGTCACTGTCTCTCCTATATTTTCCTGCATTGCAGAGTCAATCATAACAATATACTTTATGTCCTTCAGAAAGAGGTTGTTCTTCCCAAAATTGCTGTAGTCAAAGTATTTCTTCCTTTCTTGTTAATTCTAAATCTAGTATTAACAAAGAGGGGGCTAGGCATTTCCACTAACTCACCATCTATTTAATATGCTGGACAAAAAAAATGCTTCCAGGAATTAATAAAAAAATATAATGCTCCATCTATCTTACATTACCCGCTTCATTATCATCCTCAGCCTTATAATGTTGACTTCCCCATTATCACTTAATAACTAGAGAGATGTTCCCTCCTTTTTTTCCCTCAGGATCTTCAACTGAACTTAAGGGTCCAGGATGGTCCAAATTATTTTCATTTTCACTTTCATGTGTGTTGGGTTATGTTTTCAGCCCCAGTATTGTGACATTCTCTGTGAACAGTAAGTATTTAAAACTAGATAAAACTACTCTCCTCAACTCTCCCCACGGTACACTCCACTCACCTCTGATCATTCACTGTATTTACAAAATCCTGGTATAATTGGACACGTTCTAACTCCCGCACCTGGCGAACTCCTGGTCCTATCTCTTCTAGAAATTTGCCATATTTCTGTGTGTGTGCGACTACCTGCAGATTAATAAAACATTTACAATGTTAACAATGTAACGAATGGCAATAAAATTCATCATAATGCCAAACATCCATTAGAAAACACACAGTACACCACCACAGCCTCCATATGTGGTACCTGCTGTTCCTTTAGCCCATGAACATATGGAAGATGCCTCACTTTTTAGTAACCAGGATTCTAATACTAGTAGTATCAGTGTGCAGTGTGAAAGTGGGAGGAACCTTGCTTTGTCAGCAGCTCGCCCTGCAAAACAATGCCATGTAATGTCACATGGGAAATTGAGGGAAGATTTCCCTCATATTCAGCTGTTTGTACCCTTCCCACTTGTGCATAGTTTGGCTTCAATCTTATTGAAGATTAATCGAGTGGACAATCTTATTGAAAACAAGGGCATAACACCTAATTCACATCATCGTTGTCGAAAGGGCACCACCGTCTCTGAAATTTCTGTATTTCTTGCCCTGTGTATGTAGACAATGGTACAATAAACTATACAACACAACACTACTGTTACCATTTTGCAAAGCGTACACATCATCTTTCAGTAGGCTTCATATTAATACTGAAAGCTCACAATATCATATTTTAATGCATACACAAAATGCTGAATCCAATCTTATACAAGCCCTAAATGAGGAATAGTATAAAAATATATTTATATCACAACTTTGGGTCACACAGTGCAACAGCTGAGCTGCACACTTCGGAATTACCTTTATGGTGGCTTAAGATCTATAATCCTCTAGCCGGGTCTCTAATGAGGCCAAATAAAAGTGTTAAATTTTATAGAGTATCTATTTATTTCTCAAACTCAATATATTCCCAGCCAAAGGAATAGGGAATGAGGAGATGCATGGAGGTTGACAAGAGCAGTAATCCCACCTGATGTTGGAGATCATCACAGGTCATACACAAACTTCGCTCTTTCTTTAGGGCCTCTTCAGCTGCTTTGACTGCCTTTGTAATCTTATCCGGAGCTTCAGTAGTGGCAAAGCGTAACTGGAAATTTAGTATAAAGTAAGAACTTTTCTAGAGAATACAAAATCAATCATTAGAATATACTGTACAATGTATGAAAAGCTTTTCTCTCTTTTCCAATTACTGTAGCATACTCGGCAACTTCGTAAGGCAATGTCCAGTTTTTTATTAGGATCTACTACAAATAAGCCATATTAACTTTTAATACTGGCATGGTGTGCAACTTATTAAACTGTCCGTGTCAGCTCATACTGGTGATAGGGAGACACTGGAGAAAACTCAAAAGCCTTACCAGGTACACTTGTACATACAAACATATATACTGTACACACACATCATAAGTTTTAACGGACAGACAGTATGGTTTTCGAACAGGAAGATCCTGTGTAACAAATCTACTGTGTTAACCCAACCAAAAAGACGTGGTTAACTGTCTATCTGGACCTAAAAAAAGCTTTTGACAGTTCCATACAAGAGGCTGTTCTGGAAACTGAAACATGCTGGAGGGGTGACAGGGAGACTTCTGACATGGATAAAAAAAATTCTAACTGACAGACAGATGAGGGCAGTAATCAGAGACAATGTATCTGACTGATGATTAAAATACTTTTAATACCTTATTAATATCCCCTTTGTTATGTCCATTCATCTACTTGTAAACCTCTTTCATGTCACCCCAAACCCTTCGCCTTTCCAGTGAATGCAATTTAAGCTTTGTTAATCTTTCTTCATATGAAAGATTTCTAATTTGGGGAATTAACTTTGTCATCCTACGCTGGACATGTTCAAGTGAATTTATATCCATTCCATAGTACAGCGACCAAAACTGAACTGCATAATCTAAATGGGGCCTAACCAAAGCAAGATATAGGTGAAGAACAACACCAGGTGTCTTGTTACTAACGTTTAGATTAATAAATCCCAGTGTCCTATTTGCCTTATTATGAACATTCATACATTGATCCTTCGGTTTTAAATTCTTACTAATCATAACTCCCAGATCCCTTTCACAATTTGACTTCGTAATCTCAACACCATCCAGCTCGTATCTTATAACTATCATCATTACCTAGCCTCAAAACTTTACAATTATCAGCATTAAACTGCATCTGCCAATCTTTTGACCATTTCAAAACCTTATTTAGATCAACTTGTAGTGATAGTCTTTTTCTGTGTTAATTTCCCTACAGATTTTTGTATCATCGGCAAATTTGCAAATGTTGCTACTCAAACCTGAATCTAAATAATTTATATACATTATAAACAACAGAGGTCCCAGGACAGAGCCTTGAGGCACTCCACTTACAACATTATCCCACTCTGACTTAACCCTATTTACACTAACTCTGTTTCCTTTGGAATAGCCATGCCCTAATCCAACTTAATATAGCACCCCCAATACCATGAGCCTCTATCTTTTTATTCAGTTTTTCATGTGGCACTGTATCAAAAGTTTTGCTAAAATCAAGGTACACAACATCACAATCCTTACACTATCAAAATACTGGTTCTTGATAAATACTGGTTTGGTAACAGGGTTGTTGATTGTGGAACCAATTACCCCATAACATAATAGAGGAAGGATACCTTTATTGTTTCAAACATAGGTTAGACATATATATATAAATGAAATTGGGTGGATATAAATAGGAGTTGCCTCATATGGGCCAATAGGCCTTCTGCACTTACCTTGATTCTTATGTTCTTATGTAATACCCTTCAAATTGATCTAGATAAAATAAGTGCATGGAGCATCAAGTGGCAAATGGCATTCAATATGAATAAATGCCGTGTTATGGAATGTGGAATCAGAGAAAATAGACCACACACAACTTACAAATTATGTGCAAAGGAATTACAGAACTCTAATAAAGAAAGAGACCTAGGGGTAGTTTTGGATGGTAAGCTGTCGCCAGAGGAACACAAAGAACATTGTGAGAGGAGCATATGTGTTGCTTTCCGACTTCAGACTTACTTTTAATTATATGGATGGTGAAATACTAAAGAAACTATTCATGACTTTTGTGAGACCAAAATTGGAATATGCAGCAATTGCATGCTGCCCAAATCTCAAGAAGCAGGTAAACAGGAAAAGATGCAGTGGCTATGATGAGAGGTTAGAGGTGTTAGATATACAAAAGTTAGAAGATAGAAGAGAGGTGATATGATTATGTATAAAATAGTAACAGGAATCAACAAAATTGACAAATAAGAATTTTTTTTGAACTGCAACTGCAGCTAACAAGAGGATATAGGTTGACTAAGAAAACAAAGCTGCTGAAAAAAAAAACAGTAAGTTCATTTTTGAAAACCGAGTGGAAGACGGGTGGAATAAGTTATGAGAGGTGTCGGAGACCAAACCCAACAGTAGTTTTAAAGCATTATATGAGTGTGCTGGGAAGATAGGACACCACAAGTGTAGTTTTCATCCTGTAACTACACTTGGGTAATTACTCATTGCACCAATCTGTATTTGTTACACACCATATACTCATTACTGCTGACCACACCACACACTAGAAGGTGAAGGGACGACGACGTTTCGGTCCGTCCTGGACCATTCTCAAGTTGATTGTGAGAATGGTCCAGGACGGACTGAAACGTCATCGTCCCTTCATCTTCTAGTGTGTGGTCTGGTCAACATACTTCAGCCACGTTATTATGACTCATCGCCTAATTACTGCTGATGTTACTTACCCTCTTCTCCAGTTCATCCTTCGTCTTGGTCAACTCCTGGACCAGCTCAGAGACTTTCTCTAGGTTCTTGAGGTTGTTGCCGAAGACCGAGTTCAGCTGCTGCACCACGGCATGGTTGATCTCATCTTGGTCCACCAGGGAATCCAAACTTGAATTCAGTTCGAGGGAAACCATTGTGAATCACTTTATCTTAGCATGATTCTAATTAAAGCTTCTTTATACAGTACTGGTAGTTTTCTTTTAACACATACTGTGTACTTGGTTCATCAAGAAAACTTAAGTAACAAATCAGATATGATAATTTTCATACAGATAATTATGGTTATTTTCCCAAATTGTTTACATAACAGCCAAACTGGTTTTTAAATCACCAAACTATTTTCTAAATTGAAGTAATTATGCACTGCCACTTGGATCTCACTTTTCTGAACTATTAAATGTTTTCATCTGTTCCTCTGGATTGAGAAGGCCAAACACATTGCTAAATTTCTCTTCATCAATGATGCCACCAAATCTGAGGCAAAGGAACAGATTGAATTTGGGCTGTGAATATCTTAGCAGTTGGGTATAAATATCAGTAGGATTATCAGAAGTGTCAGTCAGTGGTATAATGTCCTCGGGTGGAATGTACACATCACTACGTCTTCCCCAAAATGTTAGATGCGATACCTTGACTAACCTTCTCTCTCCGTCATAGTAAATATTGCCAACTATCCTACGGAAAATTTCGCCCATAACATACAGCGTGACACATGCAAATGCATTAATGACAGTAGCGGAAATAAAGATCCCTGGCTGCACAACTCCAACATATGCAAGATACCCAGTGCCAGGGACAGCAAGACTAGTAACAGCTGTCTGATATATCTTCAACCGACACAGTGCACGAGCCACTCTGATGTATGGAAATTTATATATAACTTGAAAGTTATTTCCATTTTGAAGAGGGTTACTGGCTGTAGTGGTGCGACTCTCTCTACATTGGAAACGTCTGGGTGCAGCGGAGAGTGAGCGCACAACATTAGTGTTGCAGAGTGAGAGAGCTACTACAGGAATTCGTCTCTGGTAGAATTGCTGACAGAGAGATGTACTGAACATTGCACAAACAAAACTGTGGAAAGGACATAAAAGTTAAAAAGTGATTTACATTAAGCAATACAAATACTCTTAAAATAGGTACATAAATATTTCATAATGTAACAAAAAATTAATTATACAGTATTGTACAATTTTTAATTCAATATAATATAGACCAAAATATAACTAGTGCTTCCAATATCACAGGTGAAGTACAATAAATGCTAATTTATTGAAAAATATGCATTATAGAACTGTTTGGTAGTTTACAAGACAAAATGTTAGTTGACACTGCTTCAGTCATTGCTATGTATCAAAGAAATCCGCAAGTCTAATGTACGACCCGGAATCCTTTTGAGGGTAAAAAAGGTTGAGAAATGTCGGTCTGAAAAGTCATCATCCTGGACCTTTATATAACCACCTGTACACCAGTTGATTGATGGTCGACAGGCAAGATCAAAGAGCTGAACCTCAATCCCTGCAAGCACAACTAGGTGAGTAACTAGGTGCATACCAGGCAGTCTCCTCACCAACCAGAGAGAACAGTCTTCCCAAAACCTACACGGCACGACAGTATTCCAGTGAATACAAGTTACATCGTATTCGAGATGGCTCACCAATGAATTTTAAACCCTACCTAACCTAACATAATCCATCTGAGTAACATAACCTAAGAATATGAATATATATATTATATATATATATATATATAATATATATATATATATATATATATATATATATATATATATATATATATATATATATATATATATATATATATATATATATATATATATATATATATATATATATATATATATATATATATATATATATATATATATATATATATATATATATATATATATATATATATATATATATATATATATATATATATATATATATATATATATATATATATATATATATATATATATATATATATATATATATATATATATATATATATATATATATATATATATATATATATATATATATATATATATATATATATATATATATATATATATATATATATATATATATATATATATATATATATATATATATATATATATATATATATATATATATATATACAGTATATATATATATATATATATATATATATATATATATATATATATATATATTATATATATATATATATATATATATATATATATATATATATATATATAAACATCAAATGAGCTTTATCAAATGATCTTGTGTATATCCTCCTCCCCCCAACCAGAATATAGTCAATTAATACACATTTAAGCAAAGCTCGTTTTCTTGTAAAACAATACACATTGTTGTGTTGAGCTGCTTGTTATACGATTTGGTAGGTTTTTAAATCCGTTGGCGAATTGTCGTTGTTAAATATACAGTTATCTTGAGTTATCTTGAGATGATTTCGGGGCTTTTTAGTGTCGTGTCCCCGCGGCCCGGTCCTCGACCAGGCCTCCACCCCCAGGAAGCAGCCCGTGACAGCTGACTAACACCCAGGTACCTATTTTACTGCTAGGTAACAGGGACAAAGGGTGAAAGAAACTCTGCCCATTGTTTCTCGCCGGCGCCCAGGATCGAACCCGGGGCCACAGGATCACAAGTCCAGCGTGCTGTCCGCTCGGCTGACCAGCTCCCAACAGTAACTTGTAGTCCCCCAGCCATCCAAACAACGCCTAACAAGCGAGTAGGGTCAAAGACCTGATTAAAGTTTGACTTGTCTACATCAGATACTCCTTTAAACAAATGTAACCTAACCCAAAAATGTACTTTCAAGCAGCGTGCACAAAGTGTGCGACTCCATAAGTTTACTTATGGAGTCTCTAACTTTAGAGATTACTTCTCTATCTATTAATCCAACAAACTTTGTAAAATCTCTTTATGTATGTACCTTACCTAAATAAACATTTATTTATTTTATTTTTTTTATTTACTACCGGCACAAGTTTGGGACCAGCCTGGGTCCTTCAACCATTAAAATTAATATAAGCGGCGCTCACCATCCCCACCAACTAACCCAAGGTGATGTTATCGTTTGGGAGTTAAGGGTGACGACGGAACAAGCTGAATTTACCTCCAAAATGAACACGAAACGAGAGAGTGGTTGTTGGGGTGTTGTGGTGGTCAGCTGTTGCTCCTCCAGTCCACACCCAGCCCGCCCCGTTCGTGTATCAAGACGTATTATTCCCATATTCAACCCATTCAGCTTTTCTTTATGTATCTCTTCTTGTAAATAAAGGATCCTATTCTTCCAAAGTTTATTTGCACATTGGATATGTGAATGAATACTTCTGCTTTGTTTTTCTTGGATGGCAATATAAGTCTTAGATGTTGATCCATGGTTGATCCGGCTATGCTTTCGTTTTAGTGACGTCACGCCGCTAGCCAGCGCTTACTAAACATATTCTTAAAAACAATAATTTCTCGGTTAATAACACGAGTTTCTCAATGTATTTTATACTGGGGAACATAGGAACATATTCCGGGGAACATAGGATTAAGGACTTGCCCGAAACGCTATGCGTGCTAGTGGTTGTACAAGAATGTAAGAACTCTTGTATATATAAATTGAGAACATATTGTGGCCGTTAATGGGATCGAACCCATATCTCTGGACTACCTACATCAAGTTCTTGTAATGTCTTAAACCATTGTGCAGATAAATTGTCTGTTGTCCTACAATGTGGCTTCTTGAACCTGAAGCTGGTGTCCCTTGCATGGGTTACATTTGACCTTTTAGAGAAATGACCTGGATTAATATTCTCCATCGTGTTCACTGTTGTAAAGAACTCGTTGAGATCAGCCCTGGCATGTCTGTTTTGCAGTGTTGCTAGTCTTGTGGCCCTCAACCGTTCCTGGTGCAAGATTTCTTAGTTCTGGGATGCTTCTTGTCGCTGTATTGAACATTCTCCAAAGCAGACATGTCCTTTTTAACAGCGTTTTCCATACTCTGATTTGATAGTTCAAATTGGGACACACTAGATATTGTGATCACACTAGGGGACACAAAGGGATGAGCTACCTCATCCCTTTGTGTATTTTACCTCAATAAACTTATTTCAATTTCACTAGATATTTGTACAGCTGAATTAACCACTTTCTTTTCTTTCAGTCAAATGGTCTTTTGACTAATCCTTAGATTTTTTTAACAGCAGCTCCCACTCCCATTCATGCCTGGAGAATTCTAACTCCTAAGTCTTTTTCTTCACAAATCTGCTGCATGTTAGTGTTGTTGATATAATAGTTGTGATGTGCACCGTTCTACTTACAAGATCCTGCATTTATCAGTTGAACGGCATTTACGTCTTCTGATAATTTGTAGTTCATGTCATTTTTTTTGTTTTTGACTCATTTTCGCTTCCTAGTAAAAAAGTAAGTAAAATTTATTTACTAATAAAACATAAGTTTTACTAGGAAATACTTCCCGGCTTGTCGCCTTTTTTATATTTTTTCGGTTTATCTGAAAAAGTAAATTTTTCTTGTAGCTGAAATTAATGCCCTTTTGAATATCTCAATTTATGTGATTCTTGGTGGAATGATACATTTTCCAAGGGTTGTACTTAGTTAAGAACTTACTTTACTGCCTCTGCCATCATCATGTTATCTCATTTTCCACTCCTTGGTATTTTTTTTTTAAACTTCAATTACCTGAAATTCTCATGCTTCCATATCTTGATCTATATGAATTATTAATCAATAATTCAATCATAAGTTTATTGAGAAATGTTCATTTTGTACATTTAAAGTAAATAGTTTACTGTAAATTTTTGTAAACTAACCCAAGTGTCATAATAACCAAAGTTGAACATGATAAAAGAACATGTTATTCCCATCATCTGCCCTCATATTTTAGCGTCGTTTTTATCTACATTTGTTAATTCCTTCAGTTTTCTGTTTACTTTTTTTTTCATTGTGAGGTCTGGGGATTTGACTATGTTGTTATTCACCCAGATGTCTTAGGTTTTGTGTAGACACGCCTCAATAGCCATGTGTAATCAAAGTCACAGGCAGTCTGACAGGTAAGGTGTTTAAGATTAGGAAGAGTAATCAGAATATGCAGGAGATAAATGTAGCAGATAGTATACCATTTATTCACAAAGATATGGGTAGCGATGCATTGAACTACTTTCATGTCTGTACAGCTTTTCACCTAAATGTTCACGCACATGTCCTTGTTATCTTGGCACACCAAAAGGCAACTAATCATTTACAATAATTTCCTAATGTATCATTTTTTCTGTAAAATTAATCACCCTGGGCTATAGCACTTGCATTTTTTCTTACTTGTTTTTCCAAACATCTTTAAAGTTCACTTTAAATAAAGTATTGTACAGTAGTTTTATAAAATCTAAGCAAACTTTCTACATAATTACTCATCTGTAAATGACACACTGAAGTTCACTATCTCTGGAGAGAAGCATATTAACTACTATACCATTCTAGTTAGAAAATCTTAGATTCAAAAGGTAGAAAATGCAAAAACATTAATTTCTGATATTTATTACAAAACTTACTGTTAATAACTGATACAAGTAGCAAACTTTTTTGCTCAATGCTATTTTATTAATGACTGCATGAAAGAAAGATAAGAACAAATATTTTCCCATTATATAAGGACAAAAGGTGATTCTTACAAAATCCTACACACAGATGACTGAAAATATTCAGCATTGATTAAAAAAGTTTTCATCATACATGTAAACACCCGGGTTGTACATTATGCACTCTGCTGACTACCAAGAGGATTCTTCACGACAATTATCACAGAGTCTCCTCGCAGAAACATCTTCTGGATATACCTACAGTAAACAAAAATAAATATATGAATATAAATGTACAAAGGACATCAAGGGAGAGGTGGAAAATGCAACAAGTTTTCATCACACAAAAATTTATATTGCATATTCCATATTGTAAATGCAAATTCAAATACTGTATGGGTAAAATTGGCCTGAAATGTCAAATATGTAATAAAAGTGAGGACCTTATTGTACTGTATTATTAGGCAATAAATTCTTCATAAGTCACTACAAATATTGGATAGCAGAGGGAAAGAAATTTCAAGTTGCTTTTAAATATATCATCTGGGGCAGGGCACAATCAAAAGCTGTTACAGTATACGATCATACACAGGTATTTCAGGTCACTAATATGGCATACTGTCAAATATTTCATTAAAACACAGGCAGGAAAAAGGAGGAGGAAGGGAGGATAGACAAAGAAGTGTATATAATATACACATACATATATACTGTACTGTATAGTACAGGGGTACCACCACTGGTGCAATTGTGGGAACCTATATCCTTGTAGAAGGGAATATACACAGTTTCCAAGGCATTTGGTGTCTGGGGCCAAGTCCTACTAGTTTTTTGAAGGATCTGGGTTTTAAGCTAATCGAAACTAGAAACCCTAAAGCTGCCAGTTTCCTTTTTCCAGCACCTCAGCATGGCAGTAGAGGGGAATGAACACTGCATGCAGGGTTCCTGCCCTCCATCTGAGGAGCTGGAGGAAATCGACAGCCTGTAACAAATAAATCTGTGCCTTGTAGTTAATCAAGTTTGCATCTCACTGTGATATAAAGTAATAAAGTAATACTGTATATTTATGTTATTGAATATGACAAAGGGTTAGAGCAGTAATACTAGCACAAATCTTCTATACTGTATTTCTTATGTTCTCTCTCGTTTGGACAGAAGTTGAAAAATTAATGCTCTAAAGTTCATTTTCATAATTTGTCCTGATGTTAAGAGCTGCATTTGTTGAGCCAATCAACATTTCAAAAGCAGAGGTGAAGAGAAAGAAAGCAAGAGGGGACAGAGAGAGAGAGAGAGAAAAAGAAAGGGAGTTTGGAGGGAACTGCTACCAAATACAATATAACTAAATATGAATGCTACACTGCTTGAACGAAAGCTTACCTTTCACGGTTAACAGGCTTTGCCTTCTTCTGACCCTTGGCTGTCTTGGGCTGTTCCATCCAGATCTCTGTCACTTGCTCTAACACCATATTGAAGTGCCGGTCAAATGCCTTCACTCTTCCCAATAACTTTTTATTGTTCCGACAATTTATAAGAACCTGCAACAATAGATCTTGTTAACACTTTGGCAGTCTGGACTCTCCAAGTGTTCCAGACCATAAATGTTCTAGGTTCCCCGTGTCACTCAGCTATGCACAACTTTTTTACAATCATTTTATGTTTTCACATTTTTACAATCATTTGTTTTCTAATTTTTACAATCATTCTATTTTTGTTTTGTTTTGTTTTCCCTTCATGTGTTAAATTTACTATCACATCAATAGATCTAGATAATGTAATTTGGGATCCAAACTTCACTGCCTATGCAATATCTAGCACAGTTTTCTATGATTGCTCTGAGGACTGCATTTGCCTTTATGGGTGCCAATTTATGAACTTAGAACTTTGATTTTTGGCCATGTATGCTGGTAAAACTGAAAACTACTTTAAATTGTTTGAATGGGAGCTTTTTTTTGAGGGGGAGGGGCCAAGTATATGATTTTTTGTCTAGCATTCATAGTTGCTATGGTATTGAATGTCATAGCTGTAGCGAAGAATTAAAAAAATGACTGGAGACAAATGCCTAACATATGAGGAGTGTGACCTAAGAAGAATGTCTTAACATATCCTAACTTTAACTTGGATTTGGATAATCCCAATTTATTCTAGGTACAATACCATATCAATTAGAAGATATATTATATAGCCCATAATCTTGCATCTTCATTAGAAGATGCAAGACTATGGGCTTTTCTTAACTTAAGGATACAAAGGATGATAGCCAACCTCCACCTTGTTGGGAAAACTCCCTCCTATTTTGGGATTAACTTGCTCAATGTCAATAATACCTATACAAGTACTGTACTTTTTTCCTCAAACCTGATTAATTTAAATATCAACTCAATACAATAAAGCATTCAAGAAACTTGACAAACCTGTTGGAAATCATAAATTCTCTAACTACAAAGACCTTTGTCATTAGTACACCATTGTAAATGATGAATCTCTACAAACATCATAACTGAAAACAATACAAGGTACTTTACTTTGACTCCCTCCACTACAAAATTTAGGACCATTGAATTTATTTTGGGATAAAATATAAAGCAGAGATTGGATGAAAACAAAACTTTCATGGGCTCCGTAGCAGCAGTTAGAAAAGGTGATCGTAAAACAAAAAGAATCCACCTGCTGGCCTGATTCAGTGTCATGGGGAGCAAAAATATACAAGACTGAAAAAAATAAAAATAAATTCTAGTACACTTCTTACCTGTGTATTATTTTGAACAGATTCATTTAAGATGCGCAGTGGCCCTGTGGCAAACTCCTCTTTCTCAAGAGCTGCCAGCTCTTCTGGGTTGAGATCACTGCGACGCTTTTGTGTAGTACTGAAAAGCAACAATATGTATGTCAATATTCTTAGGGTAAAGGTAGCCTAGAGCAAGGATGTCAAACATGCAGCCTGTAACCCTTATACATATGGCCTACTCACTCCTTGAAAATCCTACCACCAATAGTTAAAAAGTATTGCTCATCAATAAAAAGTATTGCTAATTACAGTACTGATTTTGTCTAATTTCTCTTTTTAAATGTACATGCTTGTAGGTTCAGTAGTGCAGGATGTTCATGAATGTCAGTTCAGTAGAATAAATGTGACAACTCTAAACTGTGGCAGAATTTTGCTTGAAAATGTCACTGTTACTAGTCATTTCCAATTGTTCGAGGCAGATGGACATTACCACAAGCTGTGATCAGTGATTTTTATTTTTAACCTTGAACCCATAATTGTGTTAGCAAAGAAACAATTATTAAAGGGTGTCAGGGTGTACAGAAAAACAAATCTAGTTATTCAATACAAATGCCATTGTGAATGAACTAACACACCATGTAAACATCCAGTGTCAACATTGGAGTCCTCTGGTTCGAAGAACATGCGAGGTCGGGCATCAATAGATCCGGCTGGGCAGCCGCCCAACAACTAGTACTGCTCATAGAACTGCTAACAATGGGTGATATTTAGTTTGTATCCACTGTCAGTACATTTTTCATCCAAATTAATCATACTTTAATATAAGAATTTTTTTAAAATCTGGCCCCAAAATGCCTTTAAAGTATTTACTTTCACACTTTAGGAAATAACACTAGTTAAAAATAAAATATAAGCATAATGGCAAGAGCATTGTTTGCAATCAAAATTACCTTGATTATTCACTGGCAATGGGCATGTGTAGAAATTTTGGAGCAGATAAACTAGTTAGGTTAGTTCAAGGTCCCTTCCCCATCTCCACAGTATTTGTTTTTTGTTTTCCTACAATATCAGAAGGAAGCTACATATTAGACTAAATACCTTCCTGGCCAAGTTTGCTTCGTTCTATTCTTGCAGATCAGTCTTGGGCTAGGCAAATTAGGGAAGTGTTATCACCTGATATCTAATTGAGGAGATCCATTTTAAGATGTCAAATTAAACAACAAATACTATATAAATTTATTTAAAAAAATATAAGACCACTTTATTTAGAATGTTTTTTGCACAATTGAGGTGACAACTTTGATGACAGCCACTATGAGGGTTAAAGCATAATACTGATGATACAGTAACAGTATCTTAATTATAATTTATCTTTTTTTTGGTGATGGATTATTATCCCTTAGTACTGGATATGCCATATGACATTCACTCAAGGTAAATGCAGATATGCCATATGAATTCACTTAAGATAAATGCAGTATCAGGCTTTCACTATAAAATTTATGAGAATTAGGTTCTGCCTATAAATTTCTCTACTTATCGAGATTTCACATTTCTCTGGCTAATATTACCTACTAAAATGATAAACCTTGATATACAGTATATTCATTAATTAGAAGAATATAGGAGTATGTGCCACCAGTACCCACAAAATATTAAAAATAAAATGACTTTAAATTGTAAGAATTGCACATACCAAGGGTCAAATCAAAAGTTTGTCAAAAGCAAACATGGCCAACTATAATTTAGCTAATGAATAATGCTCTTAAGGAGCTTTATGGAATTATTGATCTGAACAATGAGCACTAACTAAAATAACACATGTTATTGGAAACAATCCTATGGAGCGCTATACTATATTTGGATAGGCTATGGTTTAAGCAAGTAATTATCTAAAGAAGGTGCCAAGCAAAGGAGACCATGTAGCACCATCAAAAAGTTAAATAAAACTAATAAAGCAAGTAATAATTTTGTGCATCATTTAACTAGTACAGCACCCTGTGGGATTGAATCCAATGTACTGGATCTACAATTGCTAAGAAAGCAATGCATTTCTGCTTTGAGACGACTTGGTCACCAATAATGCATGGAACACCCATCACTTGTATTCAGATAGAAATAATTATACTGTATCTGGAATGTAAACAAGTTAACCTGGTAATAACTATAATCATACAAATTATAATTTATAAGTATATATACTCCATAAGCTTTAAAAACCATGTTCTTGAGAGCTATACCATAGTAAACCAATGATATCTATATATGTAATTTGGTTCCCTACTTATGGTTTTCCCCACAGTCAATTATACCCTATTTGAACACAAGTTCCTAAGACTGACAACGACTCTCAGCCTTTGAAAGGAAGGCTTAGATGCCACATTGGTGGTTCTTGATCCACAATGTATGGAAGCAATGGAATCCAACACTGCTTTATGGTGTTACAGGCAATGAGTATATCTGATGGATTTGTATGAATGAAGTCTTAGGAGCTTTAAGAATTATCAAGCGTAGACGCATGACATTTTGGATCATGGAAGATGAGGCTGACAGATAGATTACTCAAATCATCACTGCACAATACTTTGGTTGATTCAGATAATTGTTTACCATTGCTTCTATATTATCAGGAGAGAGAACACATAGCATGGATGTGATGCAAATTCTAAACATGTATGAAGTCCAGAACTGAATATAGTTTTCCGATGGTGAATACTAATAGTTTAAGCTAGGCAGTGCTTTTTTTCAACTTGCACCTAATTACTTACTTTTTTTTTTTAATTAAGTCACCAAATGCATCTTGAAAAGTCACAGCTTTTCATTCAGTTTAAGGACTACTGCAGCAGCATGTAACCAGCTTTTTAAATAAATTCTTAAGCAGATAACACAAAATCCATCACAAATATCATGGAATTTAAACAAACTAAATTATCTGTAAAACCTTTAACTGAACAATGATTTTTCAGCTTGGTAAGTACCAAATTAAACAACTCATTTTTCATATTTGGGGAGGGACAACAGGCTTAGTGGACAAGTTGTGCTCCTCATTCAGTCCTGAGGTGTCGGGATGTCAGGTAGGCGACTGTACTTATATCACTTGTGTACTACACTTGCTATCAAATGTAGTGAAAGGCTCCAACATGCACTCAATAGGTATACATATCAGTGTTGAAATTCAGGACCAAGGCCAAGCACCAGACCCTGACAGTTACTCAGCGCAAAGAATAATTAAACATTATGTACATCATTATTGTTGAAAAAAAAAAGTATCTTGTATGAGATACTAAGTTACACAAGGGAGGCAAGGAAAGATTTGTTGTTCAGTATTGCATGAGTGAATAGTTTATATTTCCTATACATGCTTGGTAAATCATCATTAGCATCAAGGACAAAAACTGGAGCCGGAAGTGGGAATCTTTCTTCGCACATCCATTCTTCATATCGTTTGTGTAGATCTTCAAAATACTTCAACGGTACTTCCTGTTCCTCCACCCTGGCACGACTTTTTGCCCTGGCATAAACAAGTCGAGGGTCAGTTCTGAGATAAACGACGAGATCAACACGACAGTCAAAATATTCCGTTAGCCACTTGTACCATTCACAGTACACATGGTACTCCGACTCGCTCATCTTCCCACTGAGGTACAAGTTCTCCACAAAACAAAAGCGAGCACTATGGATGGACCTTTCCAAGAGCTTAACTGGTGCTGCCGTCGACATGGCATGCGACTCTGCCATGGTCAACTGCACGTAGCTCTGGAATAGGTACGACCAGCGGGCAGGGTCTCTGTACACCAGCTCGAGGAGGTTGTTGCCTTTCACACTTCGCCATTTGTCTATCTGTTCGTCCAGAACCTCAACCTCGCGAAACTTTGACAAGTAATTGAGGAGAGTCGACTTTCCACTTCCAATGTTTCCTTCAATGCACACCGTAAATTTTGGTCTACCCTCATCCCTTGGTTTAATATCCTTCAGGGTACAATCATCTGGGCCACAGGGCTCATATTTTGCACCCTCAGGGGTCAGCTTATTTGGCAGTCTGAGGGACACACCACGGATCCTCGAGACAAACCGCCACATGTCTGTAAGTAGTATATCAGGGTCCACTATATTATGGACTGGTTCTACACACTGCAAGACATGTCTGACTCATGCACTGGTCCACCTGGTGCGCTGGTTCACGTACAGGTCCATTGGGTCCACCCGGGGTACTGGTCCACCCGTGATACTGGTCCACCCGTGGTTCTGGTTCATGCACTGGTCCACCCGGGGCGCTGGTCCAACAATTTCCAACAAGTTGCAACAAATCGATGGCGGCGCCGCGACTACCTTCCTGGACCCGTTACCAAAACCAGCAACAGACACAGACTCGCCCTCCCACCACACAACACCCGGTCCTCACACATGCTCCGACACAACCTTAGTTTACCGCCATTAAAACCAAATGTAAACATGGCCAGAGACGCCAGCAAAGAGATAACGCCCCTGTAACAAACAATGGATCTCTAATACAAAATATTCCTATCATCAGCCTCCTCATCTCCACCAGCGGCATCATTTGTGTATCAGACAGTAAAGTAAATGTTGCAGAATACTCACGACATTGTGATTGTGTAGATATTACGGGATGGTCAAGGCCCAGCTCAAAATTTGCAGCAAGATTTTTAGTTGTAAACGTTGTCGCTGGTGCTGCCACCTATGGCCTGACGCCTCGCGCGTCCCGATCCCTCCTCCGTCTTCATCCCTCTCTGTTTTTCATCATATTATAAGCGTACATATTATTTTTATGTATTATGCTACGTAAAATATGGCATTTAAAATATTTTCATGCATTTTAATAGTTTACTGGGACAATTAGTTAATATTAAGTGGTTTTAGTGTAGCCTAATCCAAATCCAGTGTTCATGGAAACACTAATCACAAAAACGCGATTTTCTTCTTTGTTTTAAACTTTTCGCGAGTTGTATTCAACATTTTAAAGTATTAATGATATAAATATTTTATAAAGTAGTGTACTGTATATCATATTTTTTTGTAATGCGAATTATGCACACGTGTGGCGTTCTTTTTAAACCCAAACTATTATTACTTTTAACATATTACTTTTATTTATTTATTTAAATATACAGGAAGGTACAATGAGTTGTGAAGGTTCACACATGTTGGTGATTAAGAAGTACATTCTAGCAAAGCCACTAACAAGTATAATAGTATTTCGGGCAGATCCCAAGCAGGGTTGCCAGATCCAAATTGCTGAAAGTAGCGAGCTGACGGTCTTAAAGTAGCGAATTTGTAATAAGAGTAGCCCAATTTTTTGTTTACTGACAGATACAGGTTTCAAAGTACTATATTTTGAAATATAGAGTACACTACACGATGTTAATTGTTTTATTAATATTATTTCTGCACACACATTCTAAAAAAATAAATAAATAAATAGATAAATATATATATATATATATATATATATATATATATATATATATATATATATATATATATATATATATATATATATATATATATATATATAACTAAAATAAAATAGGATAAGTTACCAATATTTACTGTAGAAGTAGTATAATGGGAGTAGAGTCCTTCCACGTCTTCACAGTTGTAGATTATCAAGATCTTCTTCGATCAAAAACGCAAATATAAAACACTTGCGCTGGCGTGTGTTCGCTTCAATTCTCGTCTGCCAAGATAACAAAATGTTCAATAGAAAATGAGAATAAGTCAAAATTAATAATAAGATGGCACATGAGTGTATTACATTATAATAATACAAAAGTATTTCTCAGATATGCGAGGCGATTTATCCTTGTACAATTGAATGAATTAAATAAGTTTGTCTGAACATCTTTCATATTGCAAAATCATATCAAAATATCTACACTAAAATCATTGTAGGTTGATGCCTGTGCGTATTAGTGGCTTTAGGCACAGTATGTACTAGCTTTGTCTATTAGTCCAACATTCTGCTTGTAACTTTTTGAATGTATGTACTTTTACCTGAATAAACATTATTATTATTATTATATAGATAATAAATGTGGGCTAACGTGCTTATCGCACTGCTTATAATGTTGTATATCTTATTATTATCTATCAGCGTGGACTTTGTCTCTTATAACAGAACGAATAGACTCAAGATGGTGCAAACAATACAACTGCAATAATCCATTGCATTATTTGCAACTAGATCGTAGTTGCACCCTTCATTTATATATTGCCGCCAGAGGTGGATAGTTCATTAAGCATCCCCCTATCCACCACCGAGTGTTAGTTTATTGTGCACCCCGAAGCCCGACCAGTTGTGTAACCGGACTCTGACCAATTGTCTAACTGCAAGCCTAACATGAACGAACCGAACAAAAAACATCTGAAGCACAACCATGCACGAACCGAAGCCCGACTATGCACGACCGGAAGCTAAGTGACACCCCCGGAGCCCGACCAGTTAAGCAACCGGAGCCCGACCAGTTATGTAACCGGAGCCCGACCAGTTATTTAACCGGAGCCCGACCAGTTGTGTCACGGAAGCCCGATCAGTCGTGTAACCGGACCACGACCAGTTGTGTAATCGCAAGCCTAGCAAGTATACATCTCATCTAACCCCCACCAAGATAAACATACAGCCCCAGAGCCCAACCAAACTCCATTCCCAGCTCTATCAAACAAACCCTTCTTTAGCTTTTCCTAACAACTCCCCCCCCCACCTTTGCCTTTAACAACTAACTTTGGAGCCAAAGCAAACAAACAATTGAGCCCTATACAAAAAAGAAACCTGGAACTCTTGCAAAAATACAACAGTGAAACCCTTGAAAATACACATGCACTCAGCCATAACAAAGAATCAACCATGATGATCTAGCAAAGAAACAACCATTATGATCTAGCAAAGAAACAACCATGATGATCTAGCAAAGAAACAACCATGATGATCTAGCAAAGAAACAACCATGATGATCTAGCAAAGAAACAACCATGATGATCTAGCAAAGAAACAACCATGATGATCTAGCAAAGAAACAACCATGATGATCTAGCAAAGAAACAACCATGATGATCTAGCAAAGAAACAACCATGATGATCTAGCAAAGAAACAACCATGATGATCTAGCAAAGAAACAACCATGATGATCTAGCAAAGAAACATGAGGCAAAGACACACAACCCCTGGAGCACAACCATGCACGAACCGAAGCCCGACTATGCACGACCGGAAGCTAAGTGACACCCCCGGAGCCCGACCAGTTAAGCAACCGGAGCCCGACCAGTTATGTAACCGGAGCCCGACCAGTTATTTAACCGGAGCCCGACCAGTTGTGTCACGGAAGCCCGATCAGTCGTGTAACCGGACCACGACCAGTTGTGTAATCTCAAGCCTAGCAAGTATACATCTCATCTAACCCCCACCAAGATAAACATACAGCCCCAGAGCCCAACCAAACTCCATTCCCAGCTCTATCAAACAAACCCTTCTTTAGCTTTTCCTAACAACTCCCCCCCCCCACCTTTGCCTTTAACAACTAACTTTGGAGCCAAAGCAAACAAACAATTGAGCCCTATACAAAAAAGAAACCTGGAACTCTTGCAAAAATACAACAGTGAAACCCTTGAAAATACACATGCACTCAGCCATAACAAAGAATCAACCATGATGATCTAGCAAAGAAACAACCATTATGATCTAGCAAAGAAACAACCATGATGATCTAGCAAAGAAACAACCATGATGATCTAGCAAAGAAACAACCATGATGATCTAGCAAAGAAACAACCATGATGATCTAGCAAAGAAACAACCATGATGATCTAGCAAAGAAACAACCATGATGATCTAGCAAAGAAACAACCATGATGATCTAGCAAAGAAACAACCATGATGATCTAGCAAAGAAACAACCATGATGATCTAGCAAAGAAACAACCATGATGATCTAGCAAAGAAACAACCATAATGATCTAGCAAAGAAACAACCATAATGATCTAGCAAAGAAACAACCATAATGATCTAGCAAAGAAACAACCATGATGATCTAGCAAAGAAACAACCATGATGATCTAGCAAAGAAACATGAGGCAAAGACACACAACCCCTGGAGCACAACCATGCACGAACCGAAGCCCGACTATGCACAACCGGAAGCTAAGTGACACCCCCAGAGCCCGACCAGTTAAGTAACCGGAGCCCGACCAGTTATCTAACCGGAGCCCGACCAGTTATTTAACCGGAGCCCGACCAGTTGTGTAACGGAAGCCCAATCAGTCGTGTAACCGGACCCCGACCAGTTGTGTAACCGCAAGCCTAGCAAGTATACATCTCATCTAACCCCCACCAAGCTAAACAGACAGTCCCAGAGCCCAACCAAACTCCATTCCCAGCTCTACCAAACAAACCCTTCTTTAGCTCTACCTAACAACTGCCCCCACCCCCCCTTTGCCCTTAACAACTAACTTTGGAGCCAAAGCAAACAAACAATTGAGCCCTATACAAAAAAGAAACCTGGAACTCTTACAAAAATACAACAATGAAACCCTTGAAAATACACATGCACTCAACCATAACAAAGAAACAACCATGATGATCTAGCAAAGAAACAACCATGATGATCTAGCAAAGAAACAACCATTATGATCTAGCAAAGAAACAACCATGATGATCTAGCAAAGAAACAACCATGATGATCTAGCAAAGAAACAACCATGATGATCTAGCAAAGAAACAACCATGATGATCTAGCAAAGAAACAACCATGATGATCTAGCAAAGAAACATGAGGCAAAGACACACAACCCCTGGAGCACAACCATGCACGAACCGCAGCCCGACTATGCACGACCGGAAGCTAAGTGACACCCCCGGAGCCCGACCAGTTAAGCAACCGGAGCCCGACCAGTTATGTAACCGGAGCCCGACCAGTTATTTAACCGGAGCCCGACCAGTTGTGTCACGGAAGCCCGATCAGTCGTGTAACCGGACCACGACCAGTTGTGTAATCGCAAGCCTAGCAAGTATACATCTCATCTAACCCCCACCAAGCTAAACATACAGCCCCAGAGCCCAACCAAACTCCATTCCCAGCTCTATCAAACAAACCCTTCTTTAGCTTTTCCTAACAACTCCCCCCCCCCCCACCTTTGCCTTTAACAACTAACTTTGGAGCCAAAGCAAACAAACAATTGAGCCCTATACAAAAAAGAAACCTGGAACTCTTGCAAAAATACAGTGAAACCCTTGAAAATACACATGCACTCAGCCATAACAAAGAATCAACCATGATGATCTAGCAAAGAAACAACCATTATGATCTAGCAAAGAAACAACCATGATGATCTAGCAAAGAAACAACCATGATGATCTAGCAAAGAAACAACCATGATGATCTAGCAAAGAAACAACCATGATGATCTAGCAAAGAAACAACCATGATGATCTAGCAAAGAAACATGAGGCAAAGACACACAACCCCTGGAGCACAACCATGCACGAACCGAAGCCCGACTATGCACGACCGGAAGCTAAGTGACACCCCCGGAGCCCGACCAGTTAAGCAACCGGAGCCCGACCAGTTATGTAACCGGAGCCCGACCAGTTATTTAACCGGAGCCCGACCAGTTGTGTCACGGAAGCCCGATCAGTCGTGTAACCGGACCACGACCAGTTGTGTAATCTCAAGCCTAGCAAGTATACATCTCATCTAACCCCCACCAAGCTAAACATACAGCCCCAGAGCCCAACCAAACTCCATTCCCAGCTCTATCAAACAACCCCTTCTTTAGCTTTTCCTAACAACTCCCCCCCCCCACCTTTGCCTTTAACAACTAACTTTGGAGCCAAAGCAAACAAACAATTGAGCCCTATACAAAAAAGAAACCTGGAACTCTTGCAAAAATACAACAATGAAACCCTTGAAAATACACATGCACTCAACCATAACAAAGAATCAACCATGATGATCTAGCAAAGAAACAACCATTATGATCTAGCAAAGAAACAACCATGATGATCTAGCAAAGAAACAACCATGATGATCTAGCAAAGAAACAACCATGATGATCTAGCAAAGAAACAACCATGATGATCTAGCAAAGAAACAACCATGATGATCTAGCAAAGAAACATAAGGCAAAGACACACAACCCCTGGAGCACAACCATGCACGAACCGAAGCCCGACTATGCACGACCGGAAGCTAAGTGACACCCCCGGAGCCCGACCAGTTAAGCAACCGGAGCCCGACCAGTTATGTAACCGGAGCCCGACCAGTTATTTAACCGGAGCCCGACCAGTTGTGTCACGGAAGCCCGATCAGTCGTGTAACCGGACCACGACCAGTTGTGTAATCGCAAGCCTAGCAAGTATACATCTCATCTAACCCCCACCAAGCTAAACATACAGCCCCAGAGCCCAACCAAACTCCATTCCCAGCTCTATCAAACAAACCCTTCTTTAGCTTTTCCTAACAACTCCCCCCCCCCCCCCACCTTTGCCTTTAACAACTAACTTTGGAGCCAAAGCAAACAAACAATTGAGCCCTATACAAAAAAGAAACCTGGAACTCTTGCAAAAATACAGTGAAACCCTTGAAAATACACATGCACTCAGCCATAACAAAGAATCAACCATGATGATCTAGCAAAGAAACAACCATTATGATCTAGCAAAGAAACAACCATGATGATCTAGCAAAGAAACAACCATGATGATCTAGCAAAGAAACAACCATGATGATCTAGCAAAGAAACAACCATGATGATCTAGCAAAGAAACATGAGGCAAAGACACACAACCCCTGGAGCACAACCATGCACGAACCGAAGCCCGACTATGCACGACCGGAAGCTAAGTGACACCCCCGGAGCCCGACCAGTTAAGCAACCGGAGCCCGACCAGTTATGTAACCGGAGCCCGACCAGTTATTTAACCGGAGCCCGACCAGTTGTGTCACGGAAGCCCGATCAGTCGTGTAACCGGACCACGACCAGTTGTGTAATCGCAAGCCTAGCAAGTATACATCTCATCTAACCCCCACCAAGCTAAACAGACAGCCCCAGAGCCCAACCAAACTCCATTCCCAGCTCTACCAAACAAACCCTTCTTTAGCTCTACCTAACAACTGCCCCCACCCCCCCTTTGCCCTTAACAACTAACTTTGGAGCCAAAGCAAACAAACACTTGAGCCCTATACAAAAAAGAAACCTGGAACTCTTGCAAAAATACAACAATGAAACCCTTGAAAATACACATGCACTCAGCCATAACAAAGAAACAACCATGATTGTCTAGCAAAGAAAGAACCACGATGATCTAGCAAAGAAACAACCACGATGATCTAGCAAAGAAACAACCATGATGATCTAGCCAAGAAACAACCATGATGATCTAGCAAAGAAACATGTGGCAAAGACACACAACCCCTGGAGCACAACCATGCACGAACCGAAGCTCGACTATGCACAACCCGAAACCGAAGTGACACCCCTGGAGTTATGTAACTGAAGCCCCACCAGTTGTGTAACCGGAGCCAAACCATTTGTGTTTGGCTTACTGTCCTCATCGAGGCCACTAGTGTTAGTGGCTCTCAGGTAAATTCAGTTCAGGCTGGAGGGGTGTCCCCGCTCCTTCCCGTTGGGAAGGAGGATTGTACACAAGACTGTCACTAAATTTAGTTTTTAAACTATTAACTTGATGAAATAATATTACCCTATACGCGAGAATAATTATGAATGCGCAGTGCAATATAATTGTCGAATGAGGCTTTGGGTCAGGTGGCAGCCTAGGCGAGCCTGGCCTGACGACAGGCAACTGTAAATGCTTCGCCCTCCACATACTTTAAGTGCAAATAATTGCCAACAGAACCTAAATTACCGAACCTACTATACGCCTAATTAAACATAGAATATAAAATTAATTTATACACGATAAAAACTATTTTTAATACAGTACATGAAAGTCGATAATAAATGCGGTTTGGGAGGTGGCGGTCAACCGCTGCGTTAACGAGCCTAGCCTGACGACGGGGTAGTTTAACACTACGGAAGTGTATTCTACATAATATCCTACCCATATAATGTTGGCAAATCATGATCCTCAAAATCTTCCACAATATCCGAGAGAGGACAGACTATTTAGCATTAGTGGAATACAAACATTTGAATACTACACAACCCGGATGAAAAAGAAAAATACGAAAACAATGATCCTCGAGACATTACAAAAACTCAATGTTATAATAGCGAACAAATGTATAATGCATTAAGCATTGTAGGTGGAGGTAGACTATATTCATGCGTACCTTCCAACTGTTATGATATATTGGCAAAAAAAAAATTGATCAGCCTTACCTACATGGGAGCGACGCACCTCACGCCACCGCTGCTTCCAGACGACTGACGGGGTCGCAGTCGATGACCCGGTAGCGTCCAACCGACCCAGAGACCCCCTGTCTAAAATTATTTGAACGCCATATTGAAATTCCTAGCCTACAGCGCCAGGAGTATGTAAATTAATATTATATGCTAAAGTAATTTATAGATTTAAATATCATATATTGTCTAACAAACGAATTACTAAGTTAATATTTTAATTATGCCAGATACAATTAAGTCTCATCGCACACAAGAAGATTCGTCAGCGGATTTGTTTTTCTTTTTTTATTTATATATATAAAAAGAGTTTTTAAATTCTTGTAAAGCCACTAGCAAGCATAGCGTTTCAGGGAGGTCCTTAATTAAATTAATTCAAATTTTTAACCCCGGAATACGACCCGCCAAATCGTGTAACAACCTATTCTCTGCCGGGTGAACAGTTAAGGATTGTCGCCTGGCCACCCTGTGTGTCTGTGTATGTATTAACACGATGTACTGAACGGGGTGAGAATAGCTTGAACTACCTCATCCCTTTGTGTGTATTTTACCTCAATAAACTTATTTCAATTTCAATTTCGCCCGGCCAATCCTTCCCGGCCAGCAGGTCAAAGCGCTGACGATGAGTCATTCGCGCGCTTTACCACTGCGCCACAGACTGCTCCGTGGCGTAGTGGAATTTTGAATTTTGAAACTTGACTAACCTAGCTCAACCCAACCTAACGTAACCCAAATCAAACCAATCTAATCCAACCGAGCCTAATGCAGCCTAACCTTAATAACATAACCTAATACAGCCTAGCATAACAATACATCCGGTTTTAAAACAGAAAATGAGTTTAGCCGAATCGTCTCGTGTCCGAAACGACTATATCCCGACCAGTGTGTACCCGCAGGCCTAGCAATGCTGCTCAGAGAGTATAATGCTGCTAACAAAGCCCTGCTTTCAATAAACAAACTTTTCAGGATTATTTAATTAGCTGAGATTTACCTGAATTTACCATAGTGGTAAATACTCATAGTGACGGAGGGTGTGCGAATAATTTTGTTGACACAGTTTACATTTGGTCAGGTCTACATCAGCAAATAATGAGGATTCCCAGAGATACTTGTAACAGAGTCTAAACCGAGCAGTAGTAACATCTGGAAGTCTGCTGATTTTATTGGATGAGCCATAGCTGTGTGGCTCTTCTTGCATTATAGATGGTATGATAGATAAATTACGAGTGTAGGTTTCACTTTGCCTCACCTCTACAAGGTTTTGTTGAAGTTCAAGGTGTATTGTGGTTCTCAAGTTGCTTATAGGCAATCTTAGCGTATAATCAACTCCTCCTTTGAAGACGGTAGTTTAGTGGGCACCTCATACTAATTACAGAGACAAAGATCACAGACATAGGCACAAACATCACAAAGAGGTTCACTGCACTTTACTACATTAAGTGAAGAAGCCACTTATGGACAAGTAATAAATAGTTTGAAGTTAAATTCTTCAGACAGTTTTATAGCTGGATATTCTACATTTTGTATTATTTTATAATCGATAAATAGTCGATCAATAAGTATGTCTAGAGTGACAGTCTCGCTTCATGCATGTCGGCGTTCAATCCCCGACCGTCTAAGTGGTTGGGCACCATTCCTTTTTCCTCGTCCCATCTTAGATCCTTATCCTGACCCATTGCAAGTGCTATATAGTCGTCATGGCTTGGCCCTTTACCCCCACGGGAGACATCTCCCGTCACGCAGGGCGCAGTTGCACCTCCACAGATCTCCAGTATCATCTATTGATACTGATAATGGCTCCAAAGGGCCACCACTTACGGGCTATTCATGCCCGTGCCACCTTTTGGGTGGCTTAATCTTCATCAATCAATCCTTTATCCCTTGATAGTTCCCTTCCTCTTGACGTTCAGTCTTCCTGTGGTTGTTGCTCTCCTCCTCCGCCTGGGAGCACCACCACACAGCCAGTGAGTGTTCTTCCTTATCACCATCTTATCACCCTCACTATCTGAGCCAAGCACCATCGCCTCCACCACGGCCACTGTAAGTCGTCACTGCTAGCGCTGCCTTGCCGCCACCCCGTGCCTGTAACATGAACTTCTGTCTGCGGCCCCGGGCCAGCACCGGCGACAACCACGACTACGACGACGATGAGGAGAGTGACGAGTGGTTCTCTCTGGCATCGTCGTCAGCGTCGTCCCCGCCGCCACCACCGTCACTCGCCTCGTCGCTGTCCTCGGGCTCCTGCCCTCCCGAAGGGCACCTCCTGGTATCTCAACTAGAGGCCGCCTTCGGGAACCTGGTCTCGTCGCCGCCGTCGGGAGTGGGAGGGAGTAAGGTGAAGGAGCTGGTGCGTCTCCTCCCGCAGCGACCCTCGCAGTACAGACGCTCCTCCTCCAGGTCAGTCACCTCATGCAGTGTGAACCTTCTGTACCCGGCGTTACTCGGGTGCCAGACACGTCTACATTGTCTTCGTCACTGTAACCAGCTTCCCTACATGCCTTCCCTCTCCGACACCTTCCAATACTCTTCACCATCCTACCTGCCAATCACCACCTTCACTATCCTTCACAACCTTCTCTACTACTTCCCTTCTTGCCATTCCTCCATATTTCCGTTCATACTAGTGCAAGACCTACTGGGTGGTGTGACCGGCCTCCAGGTGAAGGTATTCTTCACACAGCTGGAGAAATTGTTTTGCTGTGCATCTCTGAAGTCAGCATAGTACAGTATGGGGTGAAACTGTGAATGTTAGCGAGGATAATTTAAGCTGGCTGCATGTGGGGCACAATTTATTTTATGCTTTCAAGGATAAGGAGGGAGGGAATTATCAGGGGGGAAAGCGCCAAGCCATTACGACTATATATATAGCACTGGGAAGGGATCAGTATAAGGATTTGGGATGGGACGGGGGGTGGAAGGGGGAAAGGAATGGTGCCCAACCACTTGGACGGTCGAGGATTGAACGCCGACCTGCATGAAGCGAGACCGTCGCTCTAGCAACCAGCCCAAGTGGTTGGGGGAATAACTCTAAAATTATAATATACTTAGCCGTGACATAGGTAGATATCTTGGTATTTGTATAGCTAACAAAGAATAGAGAGAATATTGAGTTAATGTGTAACTGGTGTGCGGGTTGTCCCTCAGTGAGAGTGAGCACGGCCAGACCAAGTACCTGGGCTCCGTCAAGAGGTTCCTGCAGCGCCCTCTCTCCCTTCTCTTCCTCAAGCCCGCCGGGGCCAAGGATGCCCAGCACCTCCTCTTCCAGGACACCTCCTACAGTGACTCGCTAATGCAGTTTTGCAGGGCCCTCCTGCACGTGTATCGCACCAACACCTTTCCCCCGCAGGGCCTCCGCTCCTTCCATGACAAGGTTGGTCCTGGCTCACCTGCGACAAGTGTTTAATAGGTATTACAGTTTGCCCCGGCGGGCGAGTTTATTAGGCAGCGTCACTCATCCTGTGCGTGGACACACCAGCATGGAGGTGGTGGTCACCAGTGTAGGTCCCCATCAACTACTGACTTGCCTTAGGATTCAACCAACAACATTTTCTAAATTCCTGGGTACCTCTTTTATTGCAAGATGATCAGATGCATCAAACAAAAAGGAAACGTTTCCTTCATACCGGGGGAATGGTGGTATGTGTAGAATTATCAATGTATACACTATGCACTCTTGCAGCATTGCTGAAAGGGACTGAATATGTCGGTCTCCTTTCCGTGACATGTGAAGAGGGACTTAATATGGAGACAAACCCCCCCATGAAACCTCTGAAATATTCCCGGAGTGGTTTATTACTACGAGACAATGTATGTTCCTCTGCCTTACTCCTCCAGTTAGCGGCCCTAATGATGAGCGCGGGGCTAGAGCGGATTATCCAAGTGTGGCGTAGCGAAGTCCTTCCCAGCGGGACGCTGACGGTGGCGGTGCAGGTGGCTAGCCCCAGGGATGGGGATAGACTAAGGGCTCTGGTCACCGCCTGGCGCTCACTCTACACCACCACGCTCCCTATCCTCCTGGCTCTCCTCGCTCCCCTCACTGTAAGTACCTCACACCTTGTACCTGGCAGTAACTTTATTTACACTATTTACAATGGAGACTGACGTAACTGCACCCAAGTGACAAGGCAACAAGTATTGGGTTGATGGTGGTGTGTGTGGGGAGCGTCCCGGGGCTGTCATGGGACCTCTGCTTACATAGACATAAATTAGACATAGGAGTGAACAGTAACATTAGCAAATTTTCTAATGGCTACAATAGGGAGGGAAATAGATTCAGACGGGGACTTTACATAAGTATAGCGCGAACTGAACTTAGAAACTGGGCAAAAGACTGGCAGATGAAATTTAATGCCGACAAGAGTTGGGGGCGTCTGAGTACAGGAAATTATAATAGAATTACCAGATATCAGGTGAACTATGTTGAAATTGCAACATTTAAATACGAAAGAGATCTTGAAGTCATAATTAGAAGGAATCGTAAGTCATAAAATCCATGTATAGAAGTTCGAAATGAGCCAAATAGGATGTCGTGCTAAGTTTTACAAGGTGATGTATGTGTGGGGAGAAAGTGCAAAGACAATATGAGTATACAGCGCTATGTAGAGATTTTAGAAATTCCTGATATATTTAGTCTATAGGTCTCAAAATTGGACTTTTATGTACTCTATGGATTTTCTTTATTTTCCAGGTACATATTACCTCTAATTGTCAGCAACTTGTGTTTGCAAATTATGCCTCAAAACAAACCTGTAAAATTAGTTACGTCTATATAAAAAGATGACTATTTAAATTAATGTTTCTGTTGCCTCTCGTCATTTATAACAACACTCGAAGAATATACCACTCCCAAAAAAAGAAATTGTTAACAAAATCGACACTTGACGTGAGATTTGTAACTAGCTCAAGATTGTAACTTGCTTAGCTAAATGAATTGTGGGGTTCAGTCCCTGAGCCCATTATGTGCCTCTGTAACCCTCTCCACTACCGCCCACAAGATGGGTACAGGGTGCATAATAAATGAACTATACTAAACTAACTGATGTGAGTGTAAGGGGAGTGTATATAAAAGCCCGCCTCTCTCACCCCAGAGTGTCGACACGGGATGGGAGTGTATATAAAAGCCCGCCTCTCTCACCCCAGAGTGTCGACACGGGATGTGAGTGTAAGGGGAGTGTATATAAAAGCCCGCCTCTCTCACCCCAGAGTATCGACGTCCGCGGGGAGGTGCTGACAGCGTTCCGAGACACAGTGGTGCCGTACGCTGACCTGCCCGCCCTCAGCGTCTCGTCTCCCAGGGCCCTCACAGCGCACGCCTGGACACTCAAGCAGATGGCTCTTCTACTGGCAGTGTGTACTGGACTTGCTTGTTATTGTACTGGACTTGCTTGTTAGTGTATTGGACTTGTTCATCAGTGTACTAGAGCTGTTAGTTTGTTGTAGAGATGATGATACGTGGGCCCTAAGCCTCTGGCTGACCCACTAAGTGTTATCCATAGCTGTCTTAGGCGGTGAATGAATATTAACGACTCTTATGTTGACTTCAGTAAAATTATGTCCAATGTGTTTAATAACTTCTTCTGTGGTGTTAAATCTCAGTTGAAGTCTTATTTGGTTTGTAACTCTGCACTGCGTTAGATCATGTTCTAGTGGTCTGTTGGGCATTTCTCCACAGTGGTGATACTCTTCTACTAGAAGCTGTAAGCCCATATACATGGGTGTCCCAGCCTGATGCGGTGTAAGTGCACTTATGTTTGTCTATTTTACCCTTTCATCAAAATTCAATGGTTCATAGTTGGTGGAATTTTTGCACCAACTCGCAGACCCTGATTTTTTTGTATATACAATGTAAAATTAAATTTATTAAATTTTGGCTAATTATTGTACGTCTTGACTAAATATTGTGGAATTTTTAAAGGGGGACTTAACTATTTGTAAGAATATAGACAAATGTTAACAATTTCAGAGAGTGGGGCCTTGCCGGTGTGAGTTGCAGAGCGAGGATGTGGCACTGGACACTGCCAACAAAGACGAGGGTGTGGCACTGGATACTGACAACAAGGAGGAGAATGTGGCACTGGAAACTGCCAACACTGACAGTGTTGGCACCCTCAACGCTCGACCAGAGAAACTCACACACAACGACAAAGAGAGAATAGTAGGTTGTTTTCATCTAGTGTAAGAGGTCCCCCAATGTTTTTACACCAGTGCACATTCAAGGTCCAGCTCCTGGGCTATGGCATCCATCTGTCAGAAGATGAGGACACGACGTTGTCTCGGTCCGTCCTGGACCATTAACAAGTCGTGTGTGAGTGATGACTTGTTAATGGTCCACGTCGGGCCGAAACGTCGTCGTTTCTCCATCTTGTGATGTTGGGTTTGGTCATGATATCTTCAGCCACGTTAGTAGGATTCATCGTCTGTGTAGTACAAGTAAGACACTTTCTCTACTTACGTTGGGATATTCCTTGAATCCAGAATGATGAGTCTTGTGATAATTCTTAATGAATTTTCACTTGTGAGACGGCTAACTCCTTACACACAGAAATCACAATAGCGTGATGCATCATATGAACAATTCCACAAGGACCGTGACGATGATTCGAATCAACGTCCGAGAGGGTCCCAGACGCTGCCTTAATCGACTGAGCTACGACATGGTCAAAAAGAGTTGAAACCAGAAGTTCTACTGAACTTATTTGGATCCTGCATTCCTGACCAGGTGTTACGTTTAACCGAATAACAGTCTGGTGTTTCAGGTGTAGATGGGTCCTTCATCCGGTGTTTTTCTTTCGAATATACCATCTACTCCTCTGGAAAATACTGTTCATAGCTCGTTGACACAGACTGAGGAGGCAGCTGTGCTTCTTTTTATTAATTCTTCATTTATATTGTTTTCCCTCAGTGTGTTGCAGAAGTGTTAGGAACATGTATTAAACAGGTTGATCTACTTTAAGGCCTATTGGCCCATACTAGGAAGCTCCTATTTATAACCACCCAATCCCACTCATATACATGTCCAACCTATGCTTGAAACAATCGAGGGACCCCACCTCCACCACGTTACGCGGTAATTGGTTCCACTTCTGCCACTGAAGATTTTTTCTATAAGGAAATACTAATCTTCAGTCTCAGCTCATAAGCCCGTTAGAATTCTTCCATGGGAGGGAATTATCAGGGGAAAGCGCCAAGCCATTACGACTATATAACACTGGGAAGGGGTCAGGATAAGGATTTGCGTTGGGACGGGGGTAAGGAATGATGGCCAACCATTTGGACGTTCGGGGATTGAGCCTCGACCTGCACGAAGCAAGGCCGTCGCTCTGCCGTGTGATGCAATTGGTGTGATTGGTCAGCTCACATTTCAAAGCAAAGTTGTTCAAAGAAACAACTATTTAGTGAACTTGCTTTGATCATATTGACAACTTTTACTACCTCGTTTAAATCATTTCTGTCATGTCTGCCTCTAGCAGCCAGAGCGTCAAGTGGAATGAAGCAATGATTCCAAGTTATGGCATTACCTCCTGCCTCTGACATTTGCTGCTCCAGCATTTGTAACTGCCTTGCCATTAGCCTAGTTCAGTTTGTATTTCCCAATTCCACAGTCATTCAACACTGAGCATTTCTGACCTGGTCATGCATGTAGTTAAGGTCAAGCAGCAGAGCAAATCCTGAAAGACGTCCTCGTTCCAAGGATATCTCATAAACCAAGAGTGATACTCAGGTATGTCAGTAGTTTCGTCCAGTCGGACAGCAAGATTTTCAACAGCCTGGAGACGTGGAACCAGCTCCCGTGTCCCCCCAGCTCACCACGCTTACTTTAGGATGTCTCAGCGAGTATGATTGTTAGACAATCATACTCGCTGAATTGTTTCCTCACAATTGTATGCCGTGACCCCCGTGGCGGAGCGCAGCGCAGTATGGTAGAGGGGGGAAGGTGGACCTGGAGGAAGAACACAGGTGGTTGCTTGATAATAATCAAGTGTGGCTCCCACAGAATGAATTGCTGGGCCTCCTGTTGGCGACGGAGATAGAAAAGATGCAGGTGACGGGGCCAGTGTTCTCCCGCCTCCTGCACCTCCACCACGGCGGCGCCCTCCTCCACCACGACGGCGGCCTCCACCACCACGACGGCGGCCTCCACCACCGCCACAAACACAGCCACCTCCACCACACTCACTCTCAAAATCATCTCCGTAACCTCCAGTTGAAGGATGGTCAGTATACTAAAAAAGATTGTTAGTCAACTCCCATTTTAGCTGTAAGTGGCTGACTTGCACAGTGACGTAGCGGGTTGTGAGTGGCCGACTTCGACACACAACTGAGAGAAGATCCGCTCAAGGGAATGGATTGCGAACGACTACATAATTAGTGTTAGTATCGACTCTCTATCCATGGTTAGGTTAAGTTACATTTTGTTCATTTGGTGTATTATTGACGATAAAATGAAATATGGAATTTGAAAATTATTTCAGTGTGCCCAAGAATTCCGTTTACAGAAAACTAAATTCTTTAAAGAAAAACGTTTTCAGCATACACTGTTTATATTTTAAACCATAGATTTAACACAAAATAAAGTTATAACTTGATAATAATCTGTTTTCGACAAAGGTTCATTTGCCAGTTTACATGTAGATTATTATGGAACCTAAATATGTTTTCAGATCATCACAAATATCTAGATAACTATCCAGGTGGTTTGAAGGATGGGTGTGGTTTCTCATGGTAATGTATTTGCAATAACTCAGTGTTGAGTTTGAGTGTTTACGACAGAGGCAAAAATTGCACATTAATTCGTCAATAAGGATGTTAATAGTAATGAGATATGATGCTATTGGTTGTCTGTGTGTGAGTAACAAAGTGTCGACTCTGGCGCGTTATTGTGATTTCACCGTGCAGTAATGTTATCACCTATTTGTGCTTGCGGGGGTTGAGCTCTGGCTCTCTGGTCCCGCCTCTAAACTGTGAATCAACTGGTGTACAGGTTCCTGAGCCTATTGGGCTCTGTCATATCTACACTTGAAACTGTGTATGGAGTCAGCCTCCACCACATCACTGCCTAATGCATTCCATTTGTCAACCACTCTGACACTAAAAAAAATCTTTATAATATCTCTGTGGCTCATTTGGGCACTCAATTTCTCCACCTGTGTCCCCTAGTGCGTGTGCCCCTTGTGTTAATTAGCCTGTCTTTATCTACCGTGTCAATTCCTCTGAGAATCTTGTACGTGGTGATCATGTCCTCCTAACTCTTCTGTCTTCCAGCGACGTGAGGTTTAATTCCCGTAGTCTCTCCTCGTAGGTCATACCTCTCAGCCCGGGTGCTAGTCTGGTGGCAAACCTTTGAACCTTTTCCAGTTTAGTCTTATGCTTGACTAGATATGGACTCCATGCTGGGGCTGCATACTCCAGAATTGGTCTGACATAGGTGGTATACAAAGTTCTGAATGATTCCTTACACGAGTGTCTAAATGCCGTTCTAATGTTAGCCAACCTGGCAAATGCTGCTGATGTTATCCTCTTGATATGGGCTTCAGGGGACAGGTCTGGCGTGATATCAACCCCCAGGTCTTTCTCTCTCTCTCTGACTCCTGAAGTATTTCATCTCCCAGATGATACCTGATACCTACCTCCCCAATGTGTGAATGTTGCCTGGCAGGCAGTGAGGCACTTGTGGGAGTGACAATGACATCATGTGCTGCCACTGACGGCACAAACTTATTTATCAAAGTAAACATTGGATTATTTTTCAAAACTTATAATTAATTCCACAAACTTTGTACAAATGTAAGTTTAGAAGTCTCGGATAAGATATATAATTTGATGGGATTATATTTACATAAAAACTAAATCGTAAAACTAACAACAGCTGGGTTCTCATACAAATACCATCCATCCCATAAGACTTAGTTCATTGTACGGGAGACATCTCCCGTCACACAGGGTGCAGCTGCACCTCCACAGCTCTCCAGTATCATCTATTGATACTGGTACTGGTTGAAAAGGGCCTCCACTTCCGGGCTATTCATGCCCGTGCCACCTTTTGGGTGGCTTAATCTTCATCAATCAATCTGAGGCTTACCAGTCATCATACATGCGGCCACATTCCTAACTAATCAAAAGTCGAGTTCCCTGTGCTCTTTCCCAGTCAGCTTTAAGGTGACCGACACCGTGACCAATGATCTTGTTGAAGCTTGCACACTGCAGCCTATCCCTAATACTGAGCTCTTACTCCTACAGCCACGTCGCCACCTTGCCAATGGTTGAGGGGCGGCTCCAGCAGCGTCTTCACTCTCCAGGAGGGACTGACCTCACCTGCTGCTCGATGACCTCTCTCTCACACACAAACACACATACATGCTCCACAACAGGGGCATCACCCTGATGCCCCTGTTACCTAGCAGTAAATAGGTACCTGGGAGTTAGACAGCTGCTACGGGCTGCTTCCTGGTGTGTGTGTGTGTGTGTGTGTGTGTGAAAAAAGTAGTTAGTAACAGTTGAGAGGCGGGCCGAAAGAGCAGAGTTCAACCCCCGTAAGCACAACTAGATGAATACACGCACACATAGAGGGTCCACGTGGTCTAGTAGCCAACGTTCTGGACACGCAACCCATTTCACCCGGGTTCAATCCCCGGCCGGGAGAGATATGTGTGAGAGATCTTTACATCTTACACAGTAGATGTAAAGGAGAAAATATGTCTGAGTCAGTACATTAGACAACCAACGGTGAGAATAGCCAGCCCCAAAAGCTAACAGCTTGATCCTGCAGGCACAAATAGGCGAATATAAATAGATGAATACACACACACATACATGTATACATACATATCCACAAATACAAACATAGATGCACGCACACTCGTAAATATTCTCTCTCTATGTCTATGCCAAGGACAGACAAAGCCATAAAGCAACACTCTACACAGCGACTCAACACGTATTCTACTAACACTAGGCTTTAATAGAACAAAAACAAAATAATGAATTATAATACGTACTTACGAATGAGTAGATTGTAAATTATTAAATAAAATAATTGCATGCAAAATGTGTTTTAATACTCTTAAATACCATTGGAAAGAGAGATATTTTTTCGTATTTCCTCTCTCTCTCTTTTCCTAACGTCACTAAGATATACGTCCTCTGAAAAACTTTTAAGTCACAAATACCCACAGACACATCCCAGCGCGGGTACTGGGGGCGGGGCCGCCTCTTCAATGTTGCACCGGCAGCTCTTAGTTGATTGAAAGATGCACGTCAACCGGTTAATGTCTGAGGTAGACGGCAGTGTAAGTCAAGCACGGATATAGTAGTAGTGATGGGGGAGAGGGAAGGAGAGAGGAAGCGTGTCACCTGACGCTGCAGGAAGGGTAACTCTCGCCTTGGGAGCACCAGGCCTCCACTAGGCTGGAGGGATCTCTACCATAAAAACAATGTTGAACGGAATCTTGAGGTATCATATAGGTCCCTTAAAAAGGTCATTAGACGAGAACTCTTAGAAGATGAATTTGAAGACAGCAGATCAGTGCAAATTGGAACTAGCAGGTCCATTGTTCATCACAATGAAATGTGTCAAACAAAACAGGTGTATGGAGCAAGTAACATAATCAGCAGACTAACAGACGTTGTTACAGCTGGAATAAGACTTGGCTGCTGGTATCTCTCTGGCAGTTCGGCTTGTATAGGGATGTAGATGAAGTAAAGTGTGTGGACACGGACACACACTACAGCATTATATCTTAAGACTGTGATAAAATTTTGCCATTTAGAGAAAAATCTAAACTCATGGTGCATGAAATGCTAATCCATTTTTTTATTTATATATACAAGAGTTCTTACATTCTTGTACAGCCACTAGCACGCGTAGCGTTTCGGGCAAGACCTTAATCCTATGCTCCCTGGAATACGACCCGCCAAATCGTTTAACAACTAGGTATCCATTTTACTGTTGGGTTAAACAGAGGCTACAGTTAAGGATTTGGATTTGCAAACATACTTGAACTTGAACTAGAACATTCTTATGTTCACAAAGAACTTAAATATGCATAGAGTTTTACTACCAGGATGGTTCCTAAACTAAAGAATATGGGATACGAAGTGACTAGAAGTAACATTATATTGCTAAAGTGGAGAGACAAGGGGACATTATCATTATGTACTCTAGTGTATTGATTAGACACACAGAGGCAAACTTTGTCGCACGGAAGGAACAAGAGGGAAGGCCGACACTGCACCGAGTTATATGTAAAAATGACACAATCTACGAGGCCAGTCGATAGCTGGACCTTGATCCCTTCAAATCCAATTAGGAAAGAACATCTAGATGAGTACAATCCCTGAATACACCATAGAACAACACAACTTAATAAAGTCTCAACGTGTCTCTGTGTGCCTCAAGCCAGCGTAAACCCTCGACAAGTTTGTAACTTGCCTAAGTGACCCCCGCGGCCAGCCCAGCCAAGGTGCCCTCCTCCCCCACCCCTGGCTACATTTTATCAACAAACTTGGTAAGAGTTAACATTATCCTGGAAGGGAAGAGTTGATGAAGCACCTCCTTCACTCACGACTCCCCAGTGATGCCCCTGCCTGCTGCCACTCTTCTACAGGTTCGTGTTTATCGTCATTTGTTAGTAACTCATATCCCAAGACACTAGCAAGCACATGTTGAAATATCCGTGTGTGTTTGTGGCTGGCGTGGTCGGGTGACGCGACTGTTGACAAGGAGGCAATGTTCAGCAACACAACCTACCTCTACACCCTGGCTATGGCGGGAAAGAAGCAACAGGAAATTTCAGTCATGTTATACTTTAACATGTAACGAGGCTGTTCCCGGGCTATATGCCGTATTAACATTATTACACTCTCTTACCTTCCTCCCGCTCTCCTTTCTCTCAACTACTTACCTCTCCCTGCCTGGACCGCGGATCCCAAAGCGCCACGCTGCTTCCCCTGGCGTGTGTTGTAACCCATTTGCTAATTACTGATTAATGAGAAGACGGGGACAGAGGCGGCGACACGAGGCTAAGCCAAGTCATATTAGGGGAGACTGTATCGCATTGCAGGAGATGACACCATTACCAGGATCACTCCAAGCACATTATAATACACCAGGATAGGCTATTTAAACGTATAATACTCTAAACTAGGCTTGTTAGCTTAAGTTAAATTAAGAACTATATGATTAGCTTAAGCCAAACTACGTCACATTAGGCCTGGTGAGGAAAGGCAGGAACATTATGTTAGGAACTAAGCTGGCACAACCATGGAAGGAAACTGGCACTATCATGGTTGTAAACTGGCATCAACATGGTAAATCCCTTGTATTTATTATATAATATATATATATTAGCCCATAAGGCTCAGGAATCTGTACACCAGTTGATTGACAGTTGAGAGGCGGGACCAAAGAGCCAGAGCTCAACCCCCGCAAGTACAACTAGGTGGAGTACTTATCCACGCGGTAAATCCACATGACAAAGTAATCTCCATGGATGACAAACGCTGATCAACATGTGGCAGGATAAATTCGTTGTTGGGTATTTACAAGACTTTAATAGCGCGCGCTTGGCGGGTTTATGGTCAATATTTTTGTTGAGTGGGTTTCATTATGTGGTATTGTGGGTTTATTGTGACCACCACTGTGATGGCCGCCCGTGTTGATGACTACCTTCTTCTGTTACTGCCTCTTGGAGAAGAAATGTATATATATATGTACATATATATATATATATATATATATATATATATATATATATATATATATATATATATATATATATATATATATATATATATATATATATATATATATATATATATGTATATATGAAGTAAGGGCGAAGAAGTAGAACAGCCTATTGACATAGCTCGAGTGCATGGGGGACATTGCGTAAAACCCTGGTTTGTGTCTAGGAACAAACTGCAGGAACCGTTGGTAAATCAGGATGATTTCCCGGTTGCAATTTTTTTACCATGTCGTAGCTCAGCTGATTAAGGCAGCGTCTGGGATCCTCTCGGATGTAGGTTCGAACCCTCGTCACGGCCCTTGTGGATTTGTTCACCTATCCATATACACTGACGCAGGTGTCTGCGAGACACTCTATGTGCACATATATTTGGAAACACATGCGACAAATTCCAACAAAATCATGCTATATGAAAATTTATATTACAACTGAAATATTTAGGTAGAAGTGATGGGAATTTTGTGACGGGAATAAATTTTAAAGACTAACTGGTGGTGTATGTTTCCCTTTCCCGTCTGTCTGTCTGTCTGTCTGTCTGTCTGTCTGTCTGTCTGTCTGTCTGTCTGTCTGTCTGTCTGTCTGTCTGTCTGTCTGTCTGTCTGTCTGTCTGTCTGTCTGTCTGTCTGTCTGTCTGTCTGTCTGTCTGTCTCTCTCTCTCTCTCTCTCTCTCTCTCTCTCTCTCTCTCTCTCTCTCTCTCTCTCTCTCTCTCTCTCTCTCTCTCTCTCTCTCTCTCTCTCTCTCTCTCTCTCTGCCACCTTTGTCTCCCCGGGGTCCAAAAGGCTCTGGTCGTACGTCACAACTTATGAACATATTGCTGAACTCTTCACCAGAGGGCGTGACACTCGTGTCATCACTCCAGGCTTAGCACGGCTTGGCCCAAAATATAAATTATGACCCCGTTTATATTAAACTGTTCATTAACGTGTGTGTGTGTGTTCACCTAGTTGTGTTTTTGCGGGGGTTGAGCTTTGCTCTTTCGGCCCGCCTCTCAACTGTCAATCAACTGTTTACTAACTATCCACACCACACACACACACACACCCCAGGAAGCAGCCCGTGACAGCTAACGAATACCCCGGTACCTATTTACTGCTAGGTAACAGGGACATAGGGTGAAAGAAACTCTGCCCATTGTTTTTCGCCGGCGCCGGGAATCGAACCCGGGACCACATTATCACGCGTCCAGGGTGCTGTCCAGTCAGCCACCGGCCCCTTGTGTGTTAATGTTTACAAACAATGAGCATCGTGTCACTATACTCATGTCAGATTGTGTTTACATTCTTTGCTGGTGAGCCTTTGTGCGCGCGATTGTGTGCTCTTTATCTTGTACACAAAACAGAGATATTGAGATATATACAGAGGGTTCTTGTGGCGCAGTGGTCGCACGTTGGCCCCGCGCCTCGCCTCAATTCATCTGGGATCGAGCCTCGACCAGGGAGGAATGAGTGGGTACCAGTCATTAACTGTTCCCTCATGTTTAACCAGCAATAATTAATGACCCGATTGTAAACTAATTGGCAGGTCGTGCTCCAGGGAAAACTATAGATTAACGCTTAAGGCTTCCCATGAGCTATGGGAAAGGGAAAACTCTCAGCCTGTTAAGAGGAGTCAGGAGTCGTCTGCTCCTGGATCCTCCTGTGTAAAGAGAGTCACACTATAAAAGAATACAGGTAACGTTGTGGGGGGTTATTATAGTAATTACCTTATCCAGCATACACATATACACGCAACACCACACACGCCACCAGCTTGTGTGTACGCACCTGGATACCTGCACGAGTCTCGCAACATGCAGTGTGCAGAAGCATTTTCCTTGCCACTCTCCGTGGTGTATAGTACGTCACTGGAGACGGGAGACCTGCCAGAAATATGGAAGACGGCTAATGTAGTCCCAATATACAAAAAAGGGCGACAGGGAAGACCAGTGAACTACAGATTAGTGTCCCTAACTTGTATACCATGCAAAGTGACGGAGAAGATCGTGAGGCAAAACTTAGTAAAATATTTGGAGAGAAGGGGCTTCGTGGCTCACCACCAACATGGGTTCAGGGATGGCAAATCTTGCCTCACAGGTTCAAAAAGAATTCTGCGACCATGTGACAAAGATTAAGCAAGAAAAAAAAAGAGGTGGGCAAACTGTATTTTCGTGGACTGTCAGAAAGCATTTGACACAGTACCCTATAAGAGATGCATAAGCTGGAGAAACAGGGAGGAGTAAAGGGTAGGGGTTCCCCAGTAGATAAAGGGGTACGTGACCTTCAGGAAGCAGAGAGTTACTGTGAGGGGTGAGGTCTCAGAATG